GTCCACCCGAAAACGGTCACCATTCTCTTAGAGAACATATCGAGTTCCTGGACATCATCGACGAACCCATCTTTGTTAACAAGATGGGCGTAACCTTTCGCCTTATCCAGGAAATCCGCCATGTTCAAAATACAACTCGGTGGGGACTTCCAACAAGAGGGCAAGTCCTCGGACGTCTTAACTTGTGACTGGTCAGTTTTAGAAATATCTCCTTTCTTGGAGATACTCGATTGAGCGGATTTGGGGCTAACGTCAGCCCACTTTTTCGTAGTTTTCTCATGTGGGTCGGCGTTGGCAGCCTTCCCAAAAAGGTCTTTTTTCACAACCGACCGACTTTTTTCGTCGGCCATGTTGCTTGAGCGTGGAAACTAACACTAGCGGGAAATTCCACAAACAGGGGAGGAGTTGGGGGAAAAAAAATAAAAACAATTAATGAAAGCCTGGATAACCCAGGAAAAAATATAGAAATAAACTAAAAGTAAAAATCAAATAAATGTCAGCAAGAAAAAAAATAAATAGGCAAGACTTTTTTTTTTAAAAAAAATAAAAATAAAAATGGCGCCCGAAGGCAGCCGAAAAAATGAAAACTCCTCTCTTTTTTTTCAAAAAATTCAAAAATCTACAAAAAGGAAAAAGAAAATAAAAATAAAGGTTTTCGGCCGAAGCCGATAAAGAAAATAAATTAAAAGTAAAAACAAACTAGTCAAACCAAAAGGAAGAAAGCGACCGAAATCGCTAAAAAAAGGAAAAAAAAATAAAATAAAAAAGCTTTCTTTTTCTTTTGTCTTAAACTGTTCTTAAATTTTAAAACTGAAAAGAAATAAACAAAAATAAGAAAGTAGTCGTCCGGTAAGACTTTGTCAAACGGACTAAAAAAAAAAAAAAAAATGGGTAAAGAAGCCAAAAAACAAATTAAAAAACAAACAAAAGAAATGGAAAAAATTAAAAAGAATGAAACTAAAACAATAACTTATCAGAAAAGCAGGTCCGGTGTTTTTCACAAAAAGGTTCGTCCAAATAATAAGCAAAGCAAAAAACAGTTTCACCTCACAGTACTGAAACAAAAAAAAAGGGGGGTCAGAGCAACAGTCAGAAAAACAATCAAAAAAGTCACACTCTGACGTGTATCTGCCAAGCCACTCGTTGCCGTGAATGTCTTGTTTAAGTAGCCCACTCTCGCCTCTCATGTAAGCGGGCGAGTCTACTTCTATGGGGGTGTGACGCCAAGACCATTCCGGTCTTGTAACTGGGCGTCTTAGGTTCGATTCCACCTCTACAACACCTTGATGCGAAATGTTTTCCAGCCAATAGAAAACTAGGAAACATTTAAAAACAAAATTCAAATAATCTTCAATTCTCAGAAACAAATTCTTTTATGGACCTTTTCGCAAGCTGACACGAAGTTTGTTCGTCATCCAATGGAAAAGCCAAAATCATATCCAGGAGTGAATTCACAAATGACCTTTTCAAGCCCCAAAAACAAAATAAAAGACGGGTAAGTTCGCATGTCACCAGAGAGGAGACGAGCGTAACACCTCTCTTGAAAAACGTCAAGTGATCGTTATTTTTATTTTATCTCTACCTTTCTCCCTCACCTCTTTTATACTTGATAAACGAATGGAACATTTTAAGACTAAGCGATTACTTCAAAGACAATCCTACCCTACGATAACGCTCATACATACATACATTCACACATACATTCCTGCCTACACATAAACTCATTCTTACAAGGGCTACTACGGACATTTTGACAACCTTGTATCAACCAAAATACATTAATTTTATTTGTAATGACCTAAATTAATTTATATGTCTATAAATTTGTTGTTTCACTTTACAATTTGATTTTCATGTTTTATACCCCTCTTATGGTGGGCTAACTAACAAGGCCAAATCAGACTCTGTTTCAACACTCATACACTTCACTATAACTGATAGATAACTCACTATAATAAAACCTACTGTTTTAGAGTTATCAACAAGAAAAATTCAGATTCAGTCACATCATTCGTCCGCCATTACCTGCTTTGTGTAATTAGATTCACTGCTGATCACTTCTGTCGCACAATCATAACTTTTTGGCGTATTTACTGCTTTTACTCATCTAAATTACGGCGCACTATTGTAAAGGAATGACATGTGGACGATTTTTTTTTTTTTTTTTTTTTTTGATAAGTGTAGTTTTATTTATAACAGAACAATATCAAGCATTGTTTTATTTTTAACAGAAAACCCTTTCTTTCAGTGCAGAAAAGCGGACAAAAAACCTTATTTCGTTTCTAGCATTTTTTTTATTTTGTAATTTTATTTTGTACATAATTATGCTCTTTACAAAGGTTACAGGAGTTAAGGTAAGGGTTGGGGTGAGGTTTCTTTTATTTTAATTTGTTTAGGATAGGGTTCTTTTATTTTTATTTAAAAAGAAAGCTTTACTAGGGTTAGGGGTTAAGTTTAGGGTTTTTTATTTTAATTTGTTTAGGCTAGGATTCTTTTAGTTTAATTTTTTTTATTTGAAATGAAAGCGTTTTGTTTTTTTTTTAATTTGTCCACTTTTCTACACAGAATGTAAAAAATTAAATAATAAAATATTAAATAAATAATACAACAAATTGTAATATTAATGAAATCTTATTTTAATGTACTTAGCTTTGGAGTTGAATAGCTCTTTAATATTTTCTGTTTTCATTAAGTTATTTAGAAAACAAGTGCTTTTCTTTTATAATAATTAAATAAATAATAAAACAAATTGTAATACTAATGAAATCTTATTTTAAGGTACTTAGTAATCATGCTTTGTAAAACTACAAAATTTAATAAAAAAATATTTGAACTTTAAATTTGTTTTTGATTTTATTTCTCTTTGTTTTTTCTTTTCTCGGACACTTGTGAAAGGGAATCTTCTATTGAATTTTTATTTGATCGAAGCTGGAGTACAAGATTATGTTGCAAAACTTGGACATATTACAGAACACTAACACACTTCAGTCAATTTGCGCTCCTTCTGCAGTGAGGTGTGCCAATTTTCGATAGAAAATGTGCAAGAAAAGTTGGGTGAACCTGGTGTTGAGGTAGAGATAGGCAAGGCCGTTATCTCCAAGCAAAAATATAACCAGGGACATAGATTGAAAACGGTCTGGCTTTTTGGTGGAATTGAGAGTTTCAAAGATGACGTTTTTGGTTCTTTAGAATTCTATCTTTAATTAATTTTGAAACATGGTGTATGCGATTACCAGAACATGGATACACACACAAACAAATCAACTATAGCGAACATTTTGTTGACCGGAATATCCACGTCCAAACAGTAGATAGAAAGCCCATGGAAAACTATAAGGGACATTGTCATCCAACCTGGACTACAAACTGTTTTCTTATGTTGCTCGTTTCTTGTTTTTGAAAGCAATCCCTAAACATACTCAGCATCTTCACAAGTTCCTGACTGAGGTGGCCAACATATACCCGGGACCCAAATAATTCATTTTTTGTAAATAATCATGCTTTTTTATTCAAAAATTTATTTTGGAAATAATCATGCATTTTTATTCAAAAATTTATTTTGGAAATAATCATGCTTCAATTATAAAATCCAAAATAAAAAAAAAATTTGAACATTAAATTTGTCCTTGTTATTATTAATTCCTTTTCTAGATTTTTTTTGTATTTTCTAAATAATCATGCTTTTTTAAATTTTACACAAGGTTACTCTTTTTAAAATTTTCAGAATTAAAGTCATTTTCTATCATTTTTTTGTTTTGATTTTGTAAATGATCATGCTCTTTTTTAAATTACATGCATTTTTTTTTTTTTTTTTGATTTTGTCTTTTTAAAATTTGTGCAAAGTTGCGCATTGAGTGCACAATAATCAAGACAAGTGAAGATTTCATGCAGGGGTATTCCGCAACAAATGAATGCAAACAACGCCAGTAATGGCTAGCCGCAATGCGAATGAGTCCAAACTTTTATTGTCGATAACTCCAAAACGATAGATTTTAGCAAAATTTCTTTGTTATTTTTTAATTAAGCATGTAAATTTACACCTAATTGTAACTATTTGGGAAATTCTTATTAGAAACTGAGTGCGGGTCCTAAACTGCAAATTACCCTGCTTACATTCATCACGTCACATACTTTACTGTTCATTTCAAACCAAGTATTATGGCTGGTGTTCAATGTGTTCTCAATGAACAGGTTTTTGAATACATCACCATTTTGAAGATTGGAGCAGTTTTATAAAAATATTGATAATTGCATTGACTGGTGCTGTAACTATGGCTTGCTAGCAGTCAGTATGAACTGCATTGCTTGCAACAGCCGTTATAAGAAATAAACCTATTTGCAGTCGGTGGACAACAGAATTTGGAGGCGTGCACATAAAACTTGGGCAGGGATGTTAAAGTGTAATAGTGTCAAAATGAATAATGGCACGATAAAAGATACATGCACATACAAGAAGCAAGCTGTTTTCATTTTGAGGAAAATATTGCGTTAAATGTATCCCTCTAAACAAGCATGGGAGATTTTTTTCATTTCTTATTTAGCCTCATATTCTGAACTCATCTTTGGACTTGAAACACCAGATTATTAATCTTAAATCATCAAGAAAAATTTAGAGATCCACATATTTCAATTTCTCCATCAAAAAAAAAAATCAAATCTCTGAGAAAACTCTGCCAAAAATAAACCACAAAACTAAATATGAAGCTTCTGCTTAAGGGACGTTGGATTATAGAAACATTTTATTTTTATTATACAAGTAAAATAAACTTATAATAAAATTTGAAAACTCCCGGTTTTTGGGGCTTGCAAATTAAGCCAAGATCAGAATATGAATTTAGTTCCAGAAAAGCAAAAGAAATTGTTTATAAAGGCAAACAAAATAACACACAAAATAACCAAATGTAACTGGAAAGATCAAAATTGACTTTAATAAATTTGTACTAAGTGATCACAAATATGTGATTTTTCACAGTTATTTATTTTCTTTCTATTAATTTCAGGTTCAAGGAACAAATGACTTGAGTACTCTCAGCAAATGTTCTATGGTTAAACTTGGCTATTTTCCTGATAATTTTCTCCATCACTTTGTGGCTAAACAATGTCGAAGATCTCCATTAATACACAGGTAATGTTATTAAATCTTTGTTTTTTGTGACTATCGTATATTTGCTTTTGTTTTTTTGTGACTATCACATGGTTTTGTCATTTCTTTAACAACAGCTGTTTTAAGAACTAGAGTAATTTAATCTAAAACACTCAAAATGACATTTTTTTACAAAGGATCTGGAAAGAGACCTGCAAATATATAACAGAATCTGTAAGAATCTCCTCAAAAAATAAAAAAAACTGACTAACCTTGACTATTATTATATAATGATTAATGTATAATACAATAATTGCATATATTCCTTTTATTACAGTTTTTTTTAAGTTAAATGAATTATACATTTTTGTTTCTTCAAGTTATTATTCTTATTTTTACTGATTTTACCTTTTTGTACAAATGATAAATTGAATGTTATAATTGTTAAATATAATTTAAAACTCTAACATAAATCAATTGTTATTCTAAAAGTTGTTCTGGTTAGTATTTCCCTTGTTGGTCGTATGTTTCAGATGATACATTCTTCAGCTGTCCTCAGGCATATAATTCATAAAACAAAGATAAACATTCTAGTTCCCCCAACCTTGGGAGGAATAATATTGTTCTTATTACAATATGGGGGGGGAGTATTCCTTATTTATTTATTTCATATTAATATTTTTTCATATTAATTATATATTTATTTTTGAGATATTAAGATTTTGGGGAAATAATATTGTGGCACTTTTCATTTATATGTATCATTTATAATTATTAGTTCTTTTGTGGTAGAATTACAACAGTAATTGTTTATATATAAATATTACTATTTGATTCATACAGTAAATTAGAACAATGATTGTTTGCTATTTTCCCCAGTTGAGTGTGTTTTTGTGTTCAGCAATGTGAATTGAATTAACAAAAAACCCAAAACTTGAATAAGACTGCTATACAGCTTTTATTGGGTTGAAAAAGAGCGCAAAATAGTAGTAATCTGCAGAGTAAAAAAGAGGAGTTTTCCCACTTAACAATGTTCTAGAGCAGGTGTGTCAAACTGACAGGCTGCATGCGGCCCTTTACATGCATTTTAGCAGCCCTCACAAAGGTTTCTGTAGCTATATATATATATATATATATATATATATATATATATATATATTTTTTCTGTTGTTAATGCAAATTTTTAAAAACAGTGAGATTTTTTTACAATTGGTATGATTAGATTGTTTAATCTATGTCAATGGTTTTTTGTTTTCAAATGTCTGACTATTTTTAACTTCTGGTTAATCATGTGATCATCCTTGACAACTAAATAAAAACAAATGGAAAGTGAAAATGTTTATAATTTTGTAATATTTTGCCTTAAAAATGTCAAATTCTACTCCATCTTGTAAAAAGAGAAAATTATCTGAAGAAGGACGTGTGTTTAAAGAAAAGTAGGAATTACAGTAATTTTGTACCACTGTTAATGGAAAGATAAACTATTTGATTTGCAATCACTAATGCCAAAAGAATATAATGTGAAAAACATTATGAAACAAGCCATCGATCTTATGATAAATATGAAGGAGATATGCTTGTTTCAAAAGTGAATGAATTCAAGATTAAGTTAATACAGCAACCGAGTTGCCTTGAAAAAATTCAGAAAGGCAATGTTAGTTCTGTTACTGAAGCTTTGAACTCTACAAAATGATTACCATCAGTGGAAAATCTTACAGTGAAGATTTCATAAAATTGATGTCTTGTAAAAACAGCTGAAATTGTATGTCCAGAGAAGTCACACTTATTTCAAGACATTTCATTAAGCAGGAACACTACTGCTGAACAGATTGATGAATTAGCAGGTGATTTGAAATGACAGTTGAAGACTTTATCATCAAATTTTGAACATTTTTCTATTGCTCTGGATGAGACTGTTGACATAGCTGGAATAGCACAGCTCACCGTTTTCATCAGGGCTTGTGACAATGAATTTAAAATTTATGAAGAACTAATTGAACTGGTCCCAATGCATGATACTACAACAAGCCAGGACATTTTTGAAAAAGTTGAAAATCTTCTCCATGAGTATGGCCTTGATTTGAGTAAACTTGTGTGTTTATCTACTGATGGTGCTGCCAGTATTCTTAGGAGACATAATGGTATTGGTACCAAGTTAGTTACTAAAATAGAAAATATATATCCAGATTCAACATTCAAGCATTTTCACTGTATAATTCATCAACAGTTTAAAATTAGATTATGTGTTGAGTTTTGTCATAAAAACAGTGAGCTATATCAGTGGTCATGCTCTGCATCACCATCAGTTTAGTCAGTTATTTAGCTGGTAATCAGTTCACAAATGTCCCATTCTATACAGAAGTTCAGTGTCTTTCATTTCACAAGGTACTGAAAAGATTTTTTTTATTGTGACACAAAATTATGTTTTTGGAGATGAAGGGTCAAAGCACAGATGAATTGAAAGATGAAAGCTGGCTCCAAGATCTAGTTTTTTCAGTGGTTATTACCACCCAATTAAGTGACCTTAATTTGAAATTACAAGATAAAAAAAGCTTATCACTCAGTTATATGATGATATCAAGTGTTTCATTGCAAAATTAGCTTTATTGAAATCCCAGTTGTCAAGTGAAAACTTGATTCATTTTCCTATGAGTTGAAAAAACTGCCAATATTGAGTCTGTATTTATCTTTGCTAAGTACAACAGTTACCTGGAATTGCTGTCAAAGGAATTTCAGCAAAGATTTTGTGATTTTTCATCCTCTGAAGATCAGTTTGCATTATTCTCAGCACCATTCACTTTTGATGTTGCTCAGGCAGTGAAAGTCTACAGATGGAACTACTGGAAATGCAGACTGGCTCAATAATCAAGGGAAAGTACTGAGAAGTAGGGGTACCTGAATTTTTTTCATACCTTCCTCAGACATTTAAGAACTTCAGAAAGTTTGCCATAAAGTTTATGTTGATTGTTTGGTTCCACATATACCTGTGAGCAGTTTTTTCCATCTATGAAGGCCACAGAACCAGATTAACTGATGAACATTTGTCATCTTAGATCAAAGTGGGATCTACACAAACGTTCTAACCTGATATATCGAGAATAGTTTATCTAACATGATTTCAATCATCAGGACAACAAAAAAAGATTAAATTGTACTACCTTGTATTGTAAGTATTTTGTATTTAAAATTTAGTTACCACTAGCTGTGATTAATGTAAGACTGTAAGCAAGTGTGGCCCTCAAGGCTGCAGATATGGCTGAGTTTGACATGCCTGTTCTAGAGAGTGTAGTAATTGTTTGTAGAGGGAGATTTCTCTGCTAGTTCCTACTGCAGGAACGAGAAATCCAAGTGTGAAACAGGCTAGAACAGGCGTCATCTTTTGCAGCAAGGGGTTGAGTGTAGTTTCCTTTGGTGTGCTTTGAAGGAAGATTTCTCTGCTGGTTCCTGTGGAAGGAACAAGTAATCTAATGTCAAGCTTCAAAGACAGACCTCATCTTCTGCAGCAAGAGTTGCCTTCCTGTAGGGGTCTCAAAAGGAGAGACTGCTGAAAGTCAAAAAATAGAAAAAACAGAGAGAGACAGCTGACCATGGATGTAGAGGCAACTGAAATTGAATGAAAAAGAGAGCTGGCCAAGACAGAGCTCACTGAAATAGAAAAATGAAAAAGAGGCTGAATAGGGCTTGGTCAAGGCTTTTATAGTCTCAGGGATTTCCAGTTGTACCTGTGTGAAACTGACCCAAGTCATCACTTTCCCAACTGACAAAGTCTCTCCATGAAAGCAGTACCATGTTCATGAACCTACTGACTATTCTTTCTCGCATGGTGTTTTTTATGCCAAGTTGATCTTACAAAAAATTTGCATATGCCCAACCACTCTTATCAATTCTCCTAGCTCTGAGACTGTGTCTTTCTTAAATTAAGGGTGGTCATATTTCTTTTTCCTTACCTTCACTCATTTTGCATGCTAGTTTCGCCACACACGGTAAGTCATCTTCTCTTCCATACTCCTCTCTGATCTCCTGATCACATAAATGACACGAAAATAGTGATCACCTTCATCAAATGCTTCTAGGTAAAGGTGGACGGGATTTGCCTGTCTCTTCTGCATTTGTGTCCACTTGGTTTCTTTCATTAATGGAATCATCATCATCATCATCATCTTCAGCATCTGATTCCATAAATGAGTAGTCTGGCCCTGCACTGAAAAACAGCGGCAAATTTGAATTGCTTTCAGACGACTTATCACTACTGTCATCTTCCAAAGATGCAGATTTCTGACACAAGCAGAGGTTTCTGATAGGGCATGGTATCCCATTGAAGAGAACTGAATGTAGGTTGTAGATTCCTGTCACTGTTCCTTTTATGGATTGCGTCGGACATCAACCATGTGGGGTCTTTTACCCATACCACATCTCCCACTCTATAGATTCCAGGATCAGTGTATTCAAGTGGTGGTGCAACATCGATACCCTTTATGTGAGCTTGATAGTTTTATATAGCGTTAGCTGGTGCTGATGAAGCTTTTGCATCGTCTTTTGATGTCATATTATACCACTATAATGCTTCCATAATGGAACATCCCTACCGAGCATTGATATGCTTGATGGTGAGATAGCATCTCCCCATGATATCATTCTCTGATGGTTAATAGACACACCAGAATCTAAGTCAGACGCCCCAGTTCTCTGAAAACCTCGCAAACACCTCACCACAGAATTTTGCACCATTGTCGATGAGCAGCTCAACAGGTGGTCCTCTCTTGCTGAATTGTGACTCCAACTGTCAGATGATGCTGGCAGCATCTTGATGTGGTAACAGTTGCCAGATGGAAAACTGACTAGGGCCACAGTCTATCAGAGTCAGGTAATGTCAGCCTTCATAATATGTTATGTCCATCCCACCCTTCTCCAATTCTCGCACACATCCAACCATCCAGCTTTCCAATGCACTGGTTCCAGGTCAATGGATTGGCACACTTTGTATTCTCCAACTACCACCTGAACAGCTGCCTTTGAGACCTCAGGTTGGATCTGTCTTGCAAAATACAAGGTGCGATTCACACCAGGATGCCCACTATGTTGATGGATGGCTTGAATATGGGTTGATTCCTGCTCTTCCATAGAAGAGGTGCACTCTGGTGAGCTGATCAGCTCAGTTTGCATGGGATCTGACATGCTCTATGTCAATAGTTAATTTATATTACTCCACCAGTTCCTTGATTGTGCTGAGCTAATGTCTTATTAACATTTCTGTCGCCACCTTCATGTGCAGTCAAGACTTTCCAGACAACGCATCAATGCACACACATTGAATCAGTCTTTAGGTGAATCACAATCGCTCTCTATTGCAACTGCCATGTTGATGCTTCTCAAGATCACGTCAAGCTCTATCAGGTTGATATGCTTGTCTTTGTGTTCTGATCACAGCCAACAGGCATCTTCAACCAGGGATTCATTGCTTTCCACAACAACCCACATGGTAACTTCATGTTCATCAACCCTTACACGTGCCGCAGAGCATACACTCTCATTGACAAATATGTACAAGGACGTGGCCCTGTGGATGGTTATGTCTTGTGTGACCACAGCATTCACAATTGATCGTATGAATGGTGGTGCTACATTGAACCCAAAACCCAAACGGGTTAGGCAATATCTTTGCCTGTCTATCTTCATTGTTTGAAAGGACCATAATGATTTATCAACATCGATTTGCAAATAGGCATGGTGCAAATCCAGCACGATGACATCTGATCCTTCCTGTTACCACTCCCTCAATTTTTGTGTGCATACATCTGCATCAGCAGTGCGTGCGTCAACATATTGATTGAGCTCCCGATAATCCATGACTGGGCAGACCCTTTGTTTGTTTTCCTGCAGCACAACCATTAGAGGGATCAGGCTCTTCTGGGGACTCAAATTCTTCCTCGGGATACAGAAGTAGCCAGCTGTTATCTATCCAGGTAGATAGTTCATGAGTATACTCCTCCCTGAGTGGCTTTAGTATTGGATACTTGGTTTGGTTGTCTGGTTCTTTAACACAGGTGGTGTCTGGTCACCAGACCACTTCCAAGACACAACCCAGATCTTCCTGTTCTGGTCATACTCCACATGGAAGTCAGGCTTGTTGATGTTGATAGCTGCACACAAGGGTTGGTCAAGTTGAAGAAAGCTCCCAGTCCCATCGCTGGTCACACATACTCCTCCCAACTTCTTGATGATGTCAAATCCAAGCAACCGGTCGAAACCAAGTAATTTTCCATCCACAACCAGAACCTCTTGCTCACTTCAAGTTGAATAAGGGTCCTTTCACCAATAGTAAGCACATTCACTTCTTTCCTCTGCCAAGAGCGGCAAAGGGATCTGCTTACAAGCAACCATGAACAGCCTGTGTCTAACAAGGCTAAACTCCTGATTCCATTGATGTGTACAGCAATTGCAGGTAGTGCCTCCTTCATATGAGGCAAGGGAAGTAGACTGGTGCTGAGGCCTATTCCCCTGGCTCATTTCCTGGGCAATTGTGGACTACATGGCCTACTGTGTTGTACTTGTAACATTGCATTTGAGGTGTTTTTGAAGACTTTTGCAATATGATTGGGACTGTTGCAACAATAGTGTGTTATGGAGCCATGTGAATCCCTGGTAGAAAGCTTCCTCACCTCATCCTGTGTTGTTTGTATTGCCATAACTGCCAGTCCCTCCTCCAGTACATTGTCTTTCATAACTGCTTGTGCTCAAGTCAACAGCTGGTCGATAGACAATTTGTCCATCTATGTCGAAGCATGAAGGAGATGTTTAACTTGGTCTGGTAACCCTTGCACGAATGCACATGCCAGGCCATGGTCGCTCACTCCACTGAACAGGACAGAAAATTTCCGTAACTCCACCAGACAGACATCTACCGATTCTCTGGGATGGAGCTGATGCTCAGCAAATTGCTCATAAGACAAAAATCATACGTAGCAAAAGCTGTGTACAGTATGGATTTTATCTGGCTAAAATCCACTTTTTCTTCCTCTCTCAGTTGCTGGTAGACAGCAAATGCACCACCCATTAACCTTAAGGGACTGTGTGTTCTGAATGTTTTACCTGGCAAATCTTACAGTCCAACTCAGCCTTCTCAATCCACTTAACCACATATGCTCTGGACATGGAGCCATTGAACTCGGGAATGTGTTTAAGGTCAAACTTTCCCTCTGTCAATTTCACCAAAATAGCTTGACCCATGTAATTACTTTCCCAACTTACAAAGTCTCTCTGTGAAATCAGTACCATGTTCACAAACCTACTGACTATTCTCTCTCACATGATGTTTTTTATGCTGAGTTGATCTCACAAAAAATTTGCATATGCCCAACCACTCTTGCCAGTTCTAGCTTCAAGACTGTGTCTTTCTTAAATCAAAGTGTTAGGGCAGCCATATTTCTTTTTCCTTTCCTTCACTCATTTTGCATGCCAGGCATATATATGCTCACTTTGTCACATGAGGTAAGTCATCTACTCTTCCGCAGTACCCTGCTGATTATTTCCACTGCTGTTGAATCGAGCAAAGTAAGGAAGCTCCCTCATTCCACAATATCCAACAAGTGAGATAGTTTTTATATCTTCTCCTCAAAAATGAATGCAATAAAGAATTTATTGTGTATGCCACATTATCCTAATCATATAATGTAGAAAGGAATGCATATGTAGTTTTAAAGCTGTAAATTTGTTAAGTTTAGTGGTAATGAATGTGAAATAATTATGTTTTGAAGGTTAGCCAGAATCAGCTGTTGAGTATGTTAACTGTTTTCTTTTTTTTCTAACTTGAACTAAGTGTATTAAGATAGTTATTTAACAATTAATTAAAACTGGTGTTATTAGAATATCTAAGAATCATTTAGTGAATGTCTTCATTTTTTATTGACTCTTAGTGGGTGCCTCAGTCTGGGTGTTGGATTCAGAAGATTGGTTGGGATCTTGGTGTGGAGCTACAAGTTCCTTGGGTGTGCCAGAACTTTCATTATTATTTTCAGGAGAGGTGTTAGGTTGGGCAGAGTGTGTTGTGTTACTCAGAAGCCAAAATGGTCTGGTTTTGGTAGGGTTTTTAATTAGAACCACATTATCAACTTTAGCTCTGTTGATGAAGTTGACATCATGTAAATCTTTGTGAAGTTCCCTTAGACCCAGCAAGTATTCTAACATGTTTTCCATGAGGTTCATGCTAGGATAGGTTGCTTTATTTAATGTAGGGACCTCTGTAGACATAAACAAACAATTAAGGAAGGGTCATATTTTGGATGTTTGGTCCTCACATTTAAATACAGGTTTGTGAGGCATCCAAATATAGTCTGCCAGGAGGGTTACATCTATATCTGATCTATGATCCCCTATCCTTCTTGCTTGTTAAATACTTCAGCATACAGATTCTGCTGCTTTAAGTTTTTTAAAACTCCATTCTTTATATTAAGGATTGTAGCATGCTTTGAAGGGACAGAGTTAGTTTTTTTTTTTTTTCTTCCAAAGGCAACTTTATACAGTAACAATTCTCTATAGAATTTTGAAATTGTTCAAGTTTTTCTTTGTCATAGTGACTACACTATGACAAAAAAAAAAATTCATGTTTTTTGGGGTTTTTTTTTTCATTTAAATAGTGTGGCAATAAATATGACAATAAAAAAGGAAACACACTATTGTTATTTTGACTGGAGTGTTCAGGATATCAAACTTCGACATGCTTTCTTAGATATTTTGAACACTTGAAATAATGCATTTTGCTGACATTTGAAGAATAAAGATTAAAAAGAGAAATTAGGATTTAACAGTACATTAAAAATATCTGACAGGAAGAATGGAAACATTAGATCTGGTCTGTTTTTATCTGTAATGAGCCATGAAATATTTTGTTCATTACTGGCATGTTCTAGTTTTCTTTGATTAGACATTTGGATATCACAAGTATCATTCAGTTTCCAATTCTTATGCATTAACTGGAATCTTTGGTTTTCTTGACTACATAAACAAGTTGTCTTGTCACAAGCCTGCTTCAACTGACATATTTGTTGGAAAAAACTTCTGTTCAATTAATTATTATTTGATGTATTCTCCATACAAATATCACAAATGAACTTTGATTTCCCTGAAGCTTAAGTGACAAACCATTTTTTATGCTTAATCTTCATGAAGACAATATATTTGTTAATAACTATTCATGTCTCTGGATTTTATTTATACTTTCACATATCTACTTCATGTTAGTACAAATTGCTATTGCTATAAGTGTAAGTTTGTTGTTATACATTTATGTATATCTGCAAATGAAAAGTGATGAGATATTTTGAATATTTAATAAGTAAAGAACACTTTCAATATTTCCCAAACTTGTTTCCTATTTGGAAAAAAATTATCCTTAAATGAAAAAAGTAAAAATTTTGACTTTTTTTGTTGTAAAAATTTTAACTTTTTTTGTTGTATTATAATAAATTTTAAGATAAAAGAAGGCATTATGAAAAGTTTGTGCTTTTTCTGAAATACTTACAAATATTTATTAGCACACCATGATTTTTCAAAATCAGTGATCAGATTTAATTGTTCTTTACAGAGGTTACCACATAAGAACTTACGTGATTGATTACGTATTGAAGGAATTTCTTAAACGAACCAGTCCTGAAAGAAAGATGCGGCAGGTTAGTAATATTTTCAAAATTTATTTTAATATAATATAACTGTTACAGGAATATTAATTTTTAATATTAAATACAATGGGGAAAAAAAAAACTTTAAAAGGTTTAAGGAAGAATCCTTTAAAATTTTAATCCTAACCCAAGAATGTTTCTTACAACACTTTAAAGACAGGTTTTGTTGGTACAATGCTGTATTTAAGGAGTATCTAGCAAAGATTGAGATTCTTATTGTTAACTTGTGAGACATGATGACAGTTGTACTACAAAGAAGTTGTGATCAGAATACATAGAAAACTTAGTTTCTCTTTATTCTCCTTATTTCAAATTGTGGAAATGCAAATATGTAGATACACATCTACATAAAAAACACCAAATTTGGTAAGTACATGCACACATTAAATACATATTTATATGTGGGTAATTCCATATCAACTCAACCAATGGTCCCATGGGCACCATCACAGTTTTGATGACATTTTTACAATGTTGCACCCTCCTATAAGAAATGAAAAACTCTAAACTTTTAGCTTCCTTAGACACTTGGTTCAGGAGTTATGACCTTTTGAAATATGTCAAAATCAATATTCCACAACTTCAAGTACAATACTCAACAACTTATCTGAAAATTGAAAAAATACAAAAAAAACAGACAGACCTTATTTGTTCTTTTTAATCAAACTTGTTTGAATGAATACGTGTTGCCTATATATATATATATATATATATATATATGGCAAATTGGAAAAAGTTTTTGTGGTGCATTTCATCCATTAGAACTTCATCAGACTGTGTTTGTTGTTATGACTATACATGCACATGAACAAGAGATGCTGGTAGTTTCAAAATTTTAGAAGGAATTTTTTTTTCCAATCTAACCAAATTCATCTATATTCTTTTTCTTTCCATCATCTTTGTTATTAAATATCGTATATTGTAATAACAGAAAATCTGCCAAGAATGGTGAAACTAAGAATCTGGACATAAATTTGCTAAACTAGTGATTAAAGTCCTTTCTAGACATTTTCGTCATATTGAATTATTGTCTCTTAGAGTAACATTTTTTATGTCAAAATTGTGGTCAGTTTAATTATAATGAACAACCAATGCATTTTGTGTGTCTCTTTTGTATTCATATAGTCTTTTATTTAAACATCTTGAAGTTTCTCCAATATATTCTTTCTGGGAATCCTTGCTGTTGATAGAATAAATTCCTCCTTCCAGTTTTGGTTTGTTGTTTTTTTTGTATTAAGTCTTTTATTGTTTTAGTTGTGACAAATTTTATGTTGTTTTGTTATACCATACCATTGGACTATAATGGGTATACCCAAATTCCTATAAATACATTGGTATATACTGTATGTTGTCTTCCACTTGGGATTCACCTTGATTCACTCCTAGCTCACCATGAGCAGTGGATTACTTACTACACACTACTGGCAAGTTTTGTATGTTGTTAATGTTATAAAGATTACTGTTCCATTTCCAACATTTGTTTTGGTTATTCATATTCAATAACTTGTCCTAGGTTACAAGTTTAGATAAATTCTTGTCGATTGTAGTTGTGATAGAGTTAGTGGGTAGAATAATATATTTTTTTATTCATTGGGTTTGTCAGGAGGGACTGCTTTTCTATTTTAGAATATTTTATGAGAAAAGAATTTATTATTTCTTCAAGACAATGCCCCCCGACAAATACCACGAATTATACAGGAAAGGTTTCAGAATCATAAAGAAAGTTTCCCTGGCCACTAAACACCCCAGATCTCAATACGATTGAATGCTTATGAAATATATTGGTTTAACAAGTTGACTCTGAAGAACTTCTATTATGTAACTTGCAACAGTTAAAGGACAGCCTATTCATATCATTGTACTAAGTTCAGAGAAAATCTTTAGAGATCTTGCATGCCTAATTGAGTAATAATTGTTTTGTAGTTCTTGGTCCAATTAAGAGGGCTTAAAAACATTTTTGTTCAGATTTTCAGAAGTGAGTCAGATTGAGACCTTTACAGCACTCTTTACTATATATATATATATATATATATATATATATATATATATATAATTTCTCAGAGTTAACCTGTAGAAAAAAGCAATATTTATAAAGGTAAAAGACAATAGGAAAACTAATATTAGCCTTGAAAAAGTCCATATTGGACAAAAATGTGTCAGCTAATATTACAGTTTTCCTATTGTCTTTATAAATATATATCTGCGTGTGTGATAGAAGAATAGTAACTGTTCATCAAAGTTTTTCAAAAGACTGAGTACATTTGCAATTTCTATTGCTGACATTAGGGTGAAGATGTACTAAATTATTTATTTTCATCCTCATGTGCTGTAATACCATAGTGTACTATATTCCAGGTCTGCTCATGGTGCAACTGAGAGCCAGAAGTGGAGGCCTATTGGAAATGTTTGATTTTCAGAAATTTGGGAAGAAAATTAAGTTAACTATTTTTGAAAATACTTAGAGTTACATTTTGACCCATACCTGAGGATAATAGGATGTGTCGAAATAAATGAAAATATGTATTTTTGTTGTGGACACTGATAGGTATTAAACAAAAGGAGGATGTAGTTAAGATTTCTAGTAAAAGATATGCTCCACACAATGTTGAAACAGAAACAAACCCTTTATTCAATCTACTCCCAGGGATTGATTAAAGAATTCAGTTTAAATTTCTATTAAAGTTACCAGGTTCAACAAGCAGTACCTGAAGAAAGCTAGAGGGCATCAGCTGAAATCAATCATCTCAGAAATATAGACAGATAAAACAAAATCATTCTAGGAAAGTTTCAAACCTTTAAAAGTTGGTTTTTTGTCTTATCTAGGTGTGTTATGTTTGCAAAAGTTTTTTAAAACTTTATTTGCAAAAATATGAGCATGCTTTTTCTCCATGTTGAAAAACTGAAACTCAGAAATAAGTTTAAAAATATTACTTAAAGATTTATAACACACCTTTTCCTTTATTGTATGGAAATACAATAAAGGAAAAGGTGTGTTATAAATCTTTAAGTAATATTTTTAGGATGAAGTAATATTTTTAGGATGAAAAGTTTGGTCAGAATTAACCTTTAGTTTTCCACGGTCAACAGAATTGGTATTTTTCCATACTTTTCGTAATAAATTGATTATCATTTCTTGTAATACATCCAGCTATGTATACAGGAACCATTATTATTTCATCAGAAAGAGATGGTTGTAAATTTTCCAGATTGTCAAATATTTTCTGAACCTTCCTCACAAAGTTTATGATCACAAGATGTACATTGGTGATCTGGCTTAACATCAAAAGCATCAATATTTACATTCCAATTTAAAACTAATGATGACTGCTTAATATGCAGCGTTTCAATCAACTATTGGACATTTATAAAGTATGTGCCACCTGATCCTAGATGAACTTTAGTAAATTCTTTTTCTAATGGATTAGTTGTAAATTACCCAAGTACCATATCAAAACCTTGTTTATGAAGATGTTAGTATCATTCTTATCTGCACTCATTCCAGATTGAGTGAGAAGTGCATTATATAATTTTCTGAAAACACTCTAAGGCAAATAGAAACCCATTGTCTTTGGAGCAATGGAAATTTTATTTAAATCTGAAAGTTTAACTAGTCTTTCAGATTCAAAATGATATAACTGTTTAAGATGTGCCAATTTTGCAACTTGTTTTACTTCATTATCATCAAAGATTAGTTATCCTGTCTTTTCTGTGAGAATATTTTTTCAACAGATGAACATAATCAAAAAGCGAATGTTTATTATCTTCAGTTAACCAAAGTTTTTCAGGGAGTTTTGGAATATAATTTTAAAAAATGTTTTACTCAGTTGCCATCACATATAACAGCCTTTATATCAGCTGACACAGAGGTGATGGCTTGAACTGCTAACTCAATTTGTTCAAATAAAAAGGCTGATGTTAATTTGAAATTGGAATAAATCTTGTAAGAAATTTTGGACCCCCATTAAGACATATCAATATTATACTGTTTGAGCAAGTAGAGATGGATTGTCAACTGACTTACCAAATAGTTGTAAGCCATGATTTAATAACATTTTCATGATATATACTTCATTATAGAGAATCATACACCCTTTTTGACTTTTTAAGAGTATTAAATACAGATAGCAAAAAAAGATTTTTCATTAAGTTTTGAAACTTCTTAATGTTGCTAATTGAATATTTTTTTGAGAAGAACCTTAATAAACTTTAAGTGAAAAATGTTAAATAAGAAGAAGCTTAAAATTCAAAGTAACAAGACCAAGATTCCTAAATACCATTTTTGGGTAGTGAATTACAGACCACAAAAAATAATATAGCAACTCAAAATAAAATAAATAAATTTTATACTTACTTATTTACTTCAATTAAATAAGATAAAAGTGTCGGAGTTAACTCCTCCTTCAGTTCATTAACCCTTTCACCAGGGGTCTCTCTTCCCTGGCTATAAATAGCCGCTGATCCTTCGCCTCTATCTCTTTTTTTCCTTCAGGCCTGTGCGCCGACACCTTGAGGTAAATCTCTCCTTTTTCTCAGGATTTCAGCTATCAACCTCGAAATGTAGGCGCTAACAAGGGATAGCGTGAAAACACGCTAAGCACAATACACACACACGCACATACAGAATATTCACACACGCACGCACATACAGAATATTCCCATACACTTCATCCTTTGTACTGTTTCCATGTATTGTAACTTGTTATTAATATATATTTGTATATACATATATTATCGGTCTTGTGTTTTGTTTGCTTTCTTTGCCTTCTTCTTTGGACTTAATCAAAGTCCAACCTTTTTATGTAGTTGGGCCGGCGAGCAGGAGAATCTGAACCTTACATGCGTTTCTTCTACGTCTGACTTCTATCAACAACATAACAGCCACGGCCCCCCTACAAATGTAAGGAAAAATTTCTTTATAGAAACAATGATCTGGAATTGAAATGAAAGCAGTGATGGTACCGACTCTGAATCTATCATAAAAATTCAGGATATGGAATCAGTAAATACTAAACATTTTAAATAAATGTATGGATCAGTTATAACAAATTTAGTATAGCAGCTAAAGAAACTGAACATAGACTTGTGCTAGTGGTAAAACACCCAACATCACAAATTGCTACAAAACCAAAACAATAACCTAAAAACCTTGAGTCATGTTCTTAAATAGCCTCATCAGATCAAGACTTTTATATGGATGTCATGCATATTGTTCAGAAATATCTAAACTCAAATTAGGAATGATATTTAAATAATGATATTTTTAGAATTTTATAGGAATGACATTTCCCAAAAAGAAAATATAAATTGATTATAATTAACCTTTTTTATTTGTTAAATAATTCTATGACAACTATATTGATAACTCATTAATTTAAAGGTTTATTCTTTGTTTAAGCTTTTATTATTTTTTATCAATTTATATCACTTATTTAGTACAAGATTAGTAAATTGATGTATATAATTTATCTATCATTACAGATCATTTCTTTAGGAGCTGGTTTTGATTCGGCCTTCTTCCGACTTAAGTCTCTGGGTTTGACTGAAAACTGCATTTTTTATGAGGTGAGTGTTCCTGCTTATTTTTAAAGTAAATTCTTACAAGTTGTATTGTGTAAAAACCAAAATAAATAGTTCCTGTGAGTCTAAGAAGGAAAAATCAGAACTTACAAGCATCCCAGTAAAGGAAGAGAACAGACAAATATCTCTCTCTGTCAACACAAAGATGGTCAATACAATTTGATATAAACTGCCTCTAAAATATGCAAATGTTTTGTCAACTGTGCTTTGCCGAAAATGGTAAACATCAAATCCGTATATTTGTCAGTGCAATCTGGATCATCTGAAAGGTGCTGGCCTATTACAAAATGCTGTAAGATGTGTGTTATGGGTAACAATACCCTGTCTAACACTTCAAGGCACATGTTGTGCAATCCACATTTCATATATATATAATTTAAGGTTTTAAGTTTCATTGAATATGACTGATAAGGAAAATTTGATTAATTTTTTATTTAGTTTTTCTAATATTCTTAGATTTTTCTGTTTGGTAGGAGTAAGGGAGTGTAAAAATTGTCCCTAGTGTCTATTGTCCCAAGCACTTTTGGTCATTTCTTTAGCTATTTTCAAGGATTTGTTGATTATTGTTAATTTCTTTTCATGGTTGTCTGTTTGAGATCTTAGTGTGTGACACTTCTATAGTAGTAGCATTTATTCTGAGACTGGCAAAAGGAACATGGCTGAAAAATCGAGTTGGAATCTTTCTACTTAAAAAAAAATTTTAATACATTATTCCCACTGCTAAATAAGATGATATTAATACTAGGTGCCAGATGTTTTATGTAGAGGGCTTCTGGGAGTGGACTATAAATTGCCAAGAGGAGTCACAGTGTGTAGTCATAAAGATGGAAAAAATTGTAGCTAACAGATGGTACACAAGTCAATACCCAATCAGTATCAGCTGGATCACCGTGGAGAGGGGGTATGATATTGAAAGGCCCAAAACCCCTAATGAACCTTGGCTAGAAACATCACTGATGATGTGTACCAGTTGTATAGGAATAGAGTATCATTGCCGACACTGTAATTTGAACACAGATCACCAGTGAGCAAACATGGATGATTCCATTATTAAATAAGTAGACCACGTGATCATAAAGGAAACATATAAATGAGAAATAGCATGACTTCTAAGGGATCGCTATTCTCTATACTATCCACTATACAGATTACTATTTGAACAAGTATTATTAGTGCGAGTATTATTGAAGGTGCTACTACTACTGGTAACTTCGTTTACAAAGTCTCATCTACAACAAGCATTTTGGACATGATAATGAGCATTTGTTGCCCTAACGGAAGTTACAATGAATGAGTATCTAACATCACAAAAGTGGCAACAAGGATTTGTTCAACTTACATCAACAGAAAAAATGAATCTGCAAAAAATATTAAGCAGAGTTCAGCAGAAAAATGGAAGAATTAAAAGCCATTATGCTTCAAATGTTGCAGCAACAAAAACTACAACAGGGACAACAGTTGCAGCAACAAAAACAGCAAATGCAATTACAATTACAGCAATAAAATTTTTTTGAGTTGTTCATTAAAATGATGGAAACAAAAACTTTATATTCATTCACTCCTTATGCTGTCGGTAATTCAATCACTGAGTTTGTGTACAATCTGGATGAGGGGATAACTTTCCCATCTTACTATAGAAGATATGAAGGAATCTTCAAAAGGGATTGTTCGCATTGGAATGATGAAAAAATGTTCAGTTATTATTGAGGAAATTATCCCCTGCTGAACATGAAAAATATGTAAACTATATTTTGCCGAAGAAATCAGGAGAAATAACTTTTGGTGAAACTGCCCTCACACTATCGAAAATCTTTGGTGATAGGAGAATTTGTAATGTACGCAAGAGTTGTGAATCGGGAAAGCGAAAAGTTCAAATTAAATGAACTAACTTCTGATTTGTTTAAACGCCTGATATCCATTCAGGGTTTAACATCTAACAAGGATGCAGAGATCCAGGATACTTTCTAAATTAGAAATGGATCCAAAATTAACTTTCCAGAGAATAGCAGAAGAGTGTCAACATATTGTGAATTTGAAACTCAATACCTCAAGGATTGAGGCAAAAACAATTCACAGGTACACAGTGTCTGACCATCTAATTTGAAAAACTACAAACGTTTTTCAACTCCCTAATAGAACTATAAACCTTCGACAATACCTAATACTTACCACAGCTGTAGAGGTAAGCATTTTGAGAGTGATTGTTTCTTCAAAAACAAGAATTGCTATGAGTGTGGGAAATTAGAACACAAAAGTGAGTGTTGCAGATCCAAAAAATGGAGAAAATATAGAATGCATAGGATTTATACATGCAGTAATGATAAAAAAACTAAAAAGCAAAATTAATAACACTTCGCAACAGAGGAAATTTGTTTTCATGCAAATTAATGATATGAAAATAAAATTGCAATTAGACACAGGATCGATTATCACTATTATAAACAAACAGACTTTGAGGAAAATGGGTAAACCCATTACCCAGTTCTGATAAAGTTACTTTTGGAGTCTCAAGAAAGGGATTAAACTTTTTGGGTAAATTTTCTTTTGTTGGAAAAACCAGAAGAGCGGTAGTATTTGTGTTAAAAAATACTGCTAATTTGTTTGATACAGACTAGCTTGCAATCAACTCTTTTTGCAATAAGATAAATTTTGTTACCAGTTCTAACAAAACAACTGAAAAATTGAAAAGTGAACTGAAAAAGTTTTTCAGAAGTTTTCTCTGAATGTCTAGGGACATGCATGAAAGCAAACACTAAGTTTCAGTTGAAAGACAGTGTAACACCTATGTTTAAACTAAAAAGGAATGTACTTTTGTGGTTTTAGATCCAATCAACAATCAATTGCACAGACTAGAGAAATTGGGAGTAATATCAAGAATAGACTATTCTGAATGGGCATCACCAACAGTCTACGTTAAGAAACGGAATAATAAAATCCGCATGTGTGCTGATTTTTCGACAGGATAAAATGAAAGTTTAAAACAGCATAACTACCCATTACCAGGTAAAGAGGAAATTTTTGCCAAATTGAAGGTAAATTTTTCTCTAAATTGTACCTATCAGACACATACTTACAAGTACTTGTGGACAAAGACTGTTCAAAATTATTAGCTATTAACACCCTTAGAAGGTTATATAAATTCAACCATCTTCCGTTTGGTGTGAAGGTAGCACCAAGCATATTCCAACTGATAATGGATAGATTGTGATCAAGCATATTTGGATGATGTACTTATTAAAACCAAGACCAGAAAACAACATGCTGAGGATCTAAAAAAAAAAAAGTCTTTGAGAGAATCATAGAATATGGCTTTAAAATAAGTGAAGAAAAATGTGAGTTATGTCCAGACTCAAATATCTAGGGCAGATTATTGATGAGAATGGTAGATGACTGGATCCTTCAAGCGCGAGCATGATAAAGGATATGCCCGCTCCAACTAATATAACAAAATTACAAGCAGTCTAAGGGTTTGCAAACTATTATCATACATGAGTTGAGAGCAGTATTGAATAATATCAAATTTGTCACTAGCTCATTTTGATCCTGAATTAAAGATTGTGGTTGCATCAAATGCAAGGTATTTGGGTATTGGAGGAGTAATATTACACAAATATAACAATGTAACAACAAGGCCAGTAGCATGCTTCAAGATCTTCAATTGTGGCTGAAAGAAGCTACAGCCAAATAGAGAAAGAAGCATTGGCCATCATATTTGCTATGAAAAAGTTCCACAAATTCTTTCATATAATTTATTCTACAAACAGACTATCATCCATTATTGTCCATTATTGGATCAAAAAAAGCTGTTCCCACACATACAGCAAATAGACTGCAATGCTAGGGAACTATCCTATTAAATTACAATTACAAAATGGAATTTCTACCATCTAAGAAATTAAGTTAGGCAGACTGATTGTCTCAACTAATACCAAGATTCTGTGAACCACTTGAAGACACAGTAATTGCAGTGATAAGAGCTGAAAATGAAATTGACAACATATTATATAATACTGTACAAGAACTGCCCATTACATTAGAGGAACTAAAAATTAAGGCAGGAAAAAAACACTTCATAATGAAAATGAAGGAGAAATTAAGATCTAAAAGGAAAAATACTAAGGAAAATAGTGCATTTTCCTTATACAATGGTGTACTGATGTACGCTGAAAAAGTGGTTATACCAGCATTGTTACAAAGATGTATGTTGAAAGAATTTCATAGTGGATATTCAGGAATTTTTAGGATGAAATCCTTAATGAGATGTTATACCTACTGGCCAAACACAGTAGGTATAAAATATCGCCAGCAGAGTTGCTGTTCACCAGGAAGATCAAGTCCATTTTCAATAAGTTGCTACTCGAATGCTAAGCAAGAACATCAAAGAATAACTATACAAATACATATTTCAAACCTAGAGACAAAGTATTTTTCAGGATGTATCAGTACAGAAGGTGTTGTATAGGAATAGAGTATCATTGCCGACACTGTAATTTGAACACAGATCACCAGTGAGCAAACATGGATGATTCCATTATTAAATAAGTAGACCATGTGGTCATGAACAAAATGTATAAATGGGAATTAGCATGACGTCTAAGTGATTGCTATTCACTATACTATCCACTATACTATTTCTCTATACTGATCATTATATGAATTACTATTCAGCAATTACTATTTGAACAAGTATTACTAGTGCAAGTATTATTGAAGGTGTTACTACTATCAGTATCGGCATTTACAAAGTCTCGTCTACAACAAGCATTTTGGAAGTGATAACGTGAAGTGATAATCTAACAGAAGTTACAACGAGTGAGCATCTAACATCACAAAAGTACCAAAACATCCAGTAGATGTATTTTACAAAATGTTATTGAGTAATATTTATATTTAATGATTTTCTTTATAAATTATTATTCTGGCCTCATATACATGGATTATTTTTAACTTCTAAACATGTTTTTGCAATCATTTTGAAATAAGTAATTGTATTAAAATTAATATGAATGTTTCGGATTAACCCCCACTTTGAACAGGCTCCTTGGCATTGTTACAACGATCCCTGTGACTGGCTGAAAAGAAACCAATCAGAAGGCCCCTTACTGAAGCTGTTTTGTCTCCATCTGCGCGCCATATTTGAATCTTTTTTCCTCTTTCCTACATTGGCTTTCAACGTGTAGCATGTACAAAAACACTCTTGGGTGCCTGCTCCATGTGAAGAAATATCTTCTCAATCCTCAAGTAGTCCATACGCCAAGACATTGCTGCGCCACCACCACAAGATCTCAAAGAACTGTTAACAGAACATTTCTTTTCTGTGACAAGATAAATCCACAAAATACCTTTTTTTTTTTTTTTTTTTTTTTTTTTTGCAACACGATTATTGTAAACCTTCCTTTTTCCTATCTTCTCATTCTTCTGTTATACTTATAAAAGGTTTGAATCTCAAAGGTTAGGTTTAAGTTTTTTTTTCTCACACCATGTCAGAATAATTACTTGTCTTCTCAAACTTAAATGGGTGAAATACCAATACTGGACAGAATCACAAACTGAAAGGGATTTCATTTGAAATAATCTATATAATAAATGTGAAAATGTCTGTATGTCACACTTTTTCAATTAAAGGGACACAACTCTCTAAGTTTTAAATATCTCTTCTATATAATAAATACCGAATTCAGTGTGCCACACTTCATCGATTAAAGGGACACAATTCTCAATAGCTTATCTCCTCCTTCCATATAAGAAATGCCAATGCCAGTGTGTCACACATTTTCAATTAAAGGGACTCAATAGCTCATCATCTTCTTTGTTGAACTTTTAAAAGGTAAGCTTAAATATTAATGGAATACTTAAATACAGTGATCAGTTTTTAGTTCTTCTGTAGTTTATTGTTGCCTATCACATCTACCCCCTACCTATTGTGATGAAGGCCCAATCAAGAGCCCTCTGCACGAGCTAGCTTAAATGCCACCCTACCCTCACTCAGCAAGAAAAGAGGAAAAGCAAAGATAAAAGGCAATCAGAGACAAGTAAACATCTCCGTCAAGGATAAATTAATTCGCACTCATTGAATTTGTAGTTGAAAGGAAAATAAATTATTTTATAGTATTAAAATACATTTTAGTAGAATCTCGAAAAAAAATTTAAAGTTTTTTAAAATTTGAACAATTGAAGAAATTTTATTCACATGTTAGTTTCAAAAGTAAGTAGAGATCCTTTTGATCTCTAGTCATCATGCTGAAAAAAATAGATAATTTATGGGCCATCAATTTACTTGCAAATTTTATTCTAATGACATCTCTTTCCATGAATAATATGATTGGACTTTAGAGAAAAAGGTGATCTGGCAACTAACAGCAAATGGTGCCAAAAAGTTTACATGTGGTCCTGATTTCACTGTTTAACTAGTTCTGTGAGCACCTAGGTGTTAAATCTAGTGAAGTGTTCTGTTGGGTCCAGTGTCATGATATTCGGATAGAGTTTGTGACTATTCTTATTCTTGACATAAAAAATGCCATCATTTCCTGTGTTAATATGTCCATAGAAGCCCCCAGAAGGAGCATTTTTCTACTTTCATTTCTTCATGAAACATTCTGAATTTTTTCATTCTATTAATTGTGGCTTGCATAGAGTTAACAGCTTTATAAACAGAAAAAGCTATATTTCAATAAAGACTATATGGCAAAATTAACTAAAACTCATTACTATATTTACTTTTGGACAAAGGATTTTGTAAGAGTAAGACCCCCATAGAGGAGAACATGACTAAAAACTGTGTGTACGCCATCCCATGTAGCTGTGGAAAGAAATATAAAGGGGAGACAGGCCGCCCCCTTAAGGTAAGGCTTCAAGAACACCAAAAAGCTGTAACACAAGGGGAAGTGAAAAAATCACAAATGGAGAGAAAAGGGAGATCACCGCCCTCTGTGGGATCAGGTTGAAATCAAAAACAAAAAACATCATTGGAAAATGTGTAAACTTAAGGAATCAGCACATATGCTAGGCCACAAAAATCTCCTGAGTTGACCAAATATAGATATGAATACAATATGGGAATCAGTAATAAGGAGTGCCAGAGAAAAGCAATGATAACAGCAAAAATTGCAATATGAGCACTGGTAAAAATGGTTGCTGAAGACATTAGGTTTATAATACCCAGAAATTCATACCCAGATGTCCTCAAGGACACATGGTACAGTGAATAAATGGCACGTGGAACTAGAACAGTCTACCCCAGTGAGTGAAATAAAGGGTTCAGTTCAACATTCCAACCACCTGAAGAAGGCCGGAGTGTACAACGGCCAAAACGTGATAAATATGACAACAAAGATGAGGATGATAGTCCGAACAATGTAGATTTTGTATCTATTGTTTAAATTAAATGTATCAATAATTATTTTTTCTGTTAATGTTTTTTCACCATATATACATATTTATCTGATTAATTATTTCAAAGTTGGATTTGTGTAAATAGACAATTGCTACATTCCAATTAAATATTGCTTCTATTTACAGGTTGATTTTCCTCAAGTTGTGAAAAGAAAGGCAAAGATTATTCAACAAGTTCCAGAGTTAAAAGCTTTGATAGGAGATAAAAGTTATGCAAATTCAGTTCACTGTGCAGGTATTTACAATATGACTTTTGAACACTTAGTGAACTTAACATTTAACCTATAATTCAGAGTATTTATCTTTCATCATTGAGTGGATTTATCTCTTAAACAACCTTCTTGGAAGTAAATCTTGACTTATCTAATAGAAAGCCAAGACTTTGGTATTTAAAAAATATCATCTAAGTTCTTGTACTGGTGTAAAAATTAAATACATTAAATGTAGTTTATACTTAGATTAAATAGTTCTTGTTAGCAGTGGATATGCTTTTCATTTCTTTTTAGAGTGAGATTTTTTCAAAGAAAATTACAATTACGAGGTTGCTATAAACTTTAGTAACAACAATGGGACACTAATATGTTTTTTTTATTTACCCAACCCCTATCTGCATTAACATTTTTTTAATCTTTTTTTTCATTGTTCTACATAAAGCAATTTCAGTTTCCATTTGTGTATAATTTGTTTTGTGATTCTATTAATTGAGTCTTTTTCAATTACATTTTAAGGATGATATAGATAAACAGAAACATTAATAAAGTTAACTTTATTTTCTTTGTTGATCAGATATTTGTTTCACTTAGTTTAATAGACAAATATTTTTAAGGTTTTATTAATCATTATGATACGGAATAGGAAAAAGATTTCATGTCTACCAATGATCTACAAAAATATTAAAACCTTTTCATTTGTTATATGCTTGTGTCTTTTAATGATGTGAATAAACATAGAAATATTAGCAAAAATTAATTTAATTACCAACTAATGTTTTTTTTATATACATTCTATTAAGCAGCATTTATTATTTTTTCTATTTTTAGAACTCTTCCAGGATGATTACAGATTGCTTGGAGTTGATCTGACTCAAGTTAAAGTTTTGAACGATGTGTTCTGTCAAGCTGGAATAGATAGTTCTTCTCCTACTTTAATTCTGTCTGAATGTGTACTTACGTATCTTATGCCTCAACAGTAAGTAAATATTTTGTTTTTCATGATTTAAAGTTATTTCTTTTTATTTTCTTTGATAGCATTTATATTAATTGAATGATATATTGCAAAATTGGTGTGCAATGAAATGAGTAGTGTGCTAAATTAGGTTTTGCTATTGAATGATCAAATTTTCATTCAATCTTATTAAAAAGGAATGAGTACAAAAGATCTAACTGAGAAGAAAGCCAAATGACAAATGAAATGTAAAAAAATGTTTGTATTACTTGTTAAGCATTAAGAAATGGGAAGTTAAGGGTTATGCGGAGATATAAAAATATTAAAGAATAAAAGTTGAAGATTTTCTGTCCTTTGCAGTAATTTACCTCTATTAATCATAACATGTATAAAATGTTATATTTCATAAATACAAAATGTTACAATATATTATTAAAAAAGTAATTCAGTAAATTAAAAGACATTTCCAAATTAATATTTCAAAGTCTACTGAATCTACCTTAAATTAAAATTAATGCAAGTTACACATTGAGTAAATACTGATTCATAAATTATAGTATTTCTGTAAATTTAGCCAATCTTGTAAAGACAGCTAAGCAAATTTATTGTCCAGAACCTGTTAAATATTTATAACAAAATTTGGCTCATCAAATAAGTGCAACTTGATGCATGTAATACAAATCTGAAAAGTAATATACTTTCTCAGACTTAGATTTAGTAAACATTTTCTTACAAAATGGCTACATAAATTCTTGAAAAAAATTTTCATATGGTGAAATGTATGTCCTACATAAGCATTCATTCTAAATTAAGTTGAACTTGGTGACTAACTTCTGATTTTAGGTGGATAGTATAGTATGCAACAGAAATACCTCCTACATTTAAGACATTAGTGGCAATGGTTTCTTCATCTAGCTAAAGTCTTACCATTATGTGGGAGGTATTTTTGCCACATTCTATGCTAAACTCTTTCGTATAAGGGAGAATACCAAACAAGATAATGTTAAATCAAAGCGTGTTGTTGGTACAAATGAAGAGAGAATTGTTACTATTTGGAATTTGCCATATCAAACAATTGATGATGTCTTCATTGTCTTGCTTTCATTTCTTTACTTGAATAAATTTTCAGTTGAGTGACAAACTTGTTGGAAAAGATCATTTCTATTCTAATTAAATTTTACAATGAATAAACTTTTTGACATACCAGTTGGTTATATTGGCTTATAAAGAAGTTCAAATTTTACATTAAAAGAAACTTGTTCTCTTTTCAACAAAAGATGAATGTAAGACTTTTCTGGGATATATATCGGATGGAAGTGAAAATTGTATTTTGTACTATTTGGAGATTTATTTTACATGAATTTGTTTCCCAAAATCTTAGTAAAAAGTATTATTCAAAAAGCATTTTTAAAATGGAAATGACTTATTGATACAAAATTGTTTTTTCCTTTTGTTTTTTAGTTCTGATGCTGTCATTCACTGGGCTGTGAAAACATTTACAAAGGCTGTTTTTATTGATTATGAACAGGCAAGTGTGAATTAATTAGAAAATCAGAATTTCCACTTTTTTTAGTTCAAAATCATTTCACCTCTCATTCTTTTAATTTTCTTATGACACCATAACTGAACTTGATAGTTTAAGGTAACTATTATGAACATCAGTTTCTAACTTTTACAGGTTCTACAGCCAACCTAGGAAACAGGAAAATCAAGGAATTGAAAGAATAGTCAATGTTTTTTTTTAGGAAAAAGCAAGAAATTATCAGGGAATTTTGGTTTAATGTTAAGGAAATCAGGAAATTTTCTAATGCAACTTGACATGCAACAAATGGCATGTTTATTATGTACTTTTTTTGATTGAAAATTGTTTGAAAATAAATGCTAAATGTTATTTATGTGATATTGTTTTCTAGGATTAGTAAAAATTGAATAAGAGCATGTTTCTTTAGCTATTCATCTTTTTAGCCATCCTTTGGTGCAGCTATATCCTTACTCCTGTCTGTTATGCAACCTTATTCAATGATTAGTCTGGAAACTGTTTTATTTAGAGCAGATATTTACTACATGTTTCCAGTTTACAAAATCATTTTTTTCTATTTTTTTTTTTTACTATCTTTCTATATCTTTAATATACAAGGTAATCAAAGAAGTCCTTACCATTTTTGATTTATTAGAAAAAAAAAGGTATGCAGCAAATTTAACATATTGTTAGTCCTCAAAGTAGTCCCCATCAGCATCCAGAACCTTTTGCCAATGCACAATGGTCTGGCTGTAAAAATCAGGTGTCTTGGATGCAAAGAGTGTCTGCTGCAAGTCTGCCTCATTTGCGAATGTTTTTCCCACAAATGTGTTTGTCCAGAGAATGATTTTCCCACAAATGTGTTTGCCCAGGCAATCTGTTGATGCAAAATCCAAGGAGTAAGGTGGATGCTATTGTATTCTAGCCGTTGCTGTATGCTATCCCTGACCACTCATGCCACATGAAGTCTGGTATTGTCATTGAGGAATAGTACACCCTTGTGATTAATCAATGCTGGCTCCTTTTGCTTCAGTGCCTGTTGCACATGTTCTAACTGCTGTGAGTAAAGGTTTGCAGTAATGTTTTGGTCCATTGGTAGCAGCTCATAGTCACCACTTGTCAACTAGTCCACCAGATACAGATCTTGTGTGGGTGCAAAGGTAGTCGTGTAGTAACAGCATACTTGGAGTGTCATGCTTGGCAGTGTCATACAGGACCCACTTTTCATCACTAGTGAGCACTCAATGAAATATGCCAAGAAAGCAACAAGAATCAAGCTTTCACTCTTTGTTGCTTGTTGGCTTCCAACAGTGTGTTGGGTAGCCACTTGCTCAACTTGTATGCCTTCCCTATGTGGTTCAAGTGAAGTCTGACTCATCAGAAACCTGGAAGTGTTCTGCATGCTCATCACAGGTTTGGCAGTTATCCTCCTATATGGCCACCTTCAGGGCTTCATCCAGGACCTGTGGCCAGCTACTGCAGGATTCATCACAAAGCAACAGATCTCCTGACCTGCACTTCTGATGCGTTCACTCAACATTATCCCCCAAAGGTTTGATGTTTTTGGCAACTTGATGTGGCTGCAAACTAGCCCACCTCAAAGTCATAAAGTAGACAACCTTAAATGAGCTGCTTCAACACCACCATATTTTCTCACCACTGCTTAAGCTATGATTGATGTGTGCATGCAACACACCTGCATTGGTCAAGAGCAATGCCCCCCCCCCCTTTCCTAGCATATACCACACTCATTTATGTATCAGTGATCACTTCTTCCCACGCAACTTAAAAAAAGCAAAGATTTTGTTGGGCATTTAAAAAATATATATAAAATGTATTATTATATATAAATGTATTATTGTCTATTAATAGTCTTCTAAATTTTTAAGTAATGTTCAGTCATTGAATGATGGAATCCTGATTGTTCCCTTAGCATTTATTTGGTATAATAAATGCTACATTTAAGATTTCTCTCAAATATGATCCTAAAATGTTAATTCTTTTTTATCTATTTACCCAGAGTAAAATAAAAAATATGGATGATTGGTGGAATTATGCAGAATCAGATGAATTTCTTTCATGATTGTTCAATTAAGAAATTCTTTATTTGAAAAGAAATATATTCTCCTTCAAGATAAATATGAAAGCAGGGTTATAATTCTCTATCACTTTTACATTTTTTTCACTTTCTCTACAAAGTTCATTTTTAATACATAAATCTTAATTCAACAAATTCACGATAAATTATAACATTTTTTTCTTTTATTTTTTTTCCAGATAAATCCCAATACTGCATTTGGAATATTTATGTAAGTCATTTAGTTTTTATGTATAACATTTTTAATCATTGGCCTTCTTTTGACATGCTGATCAGTACACATCTCCTTATTTGATCTCCAAACTGACAAAAATATAGAAAAGACTGTAAATGTGTTATTATGCAAACACTCAAAAATTTGTCTATATTTCTGAGATGAGGTATTATGTACATTATTTACATTATTCGGACTATTGTCCTCATCTTTGTCGCCATATTCTTCGCACCTAAGACATATAGACAGTTATTGCAGCGTTACACCAAGCTACCTCACATAAACGGTTTCCCTAAGATTCACAAAGACGGTATTCCACTCAGGCCGATTGTTAGTTGCCAAGGCTCTGTGTGCCACCCTCTGAGTCGCTTCCTTGTAGATATAATTGACCCATTGATCGGAAAGTCTCCTTCATATGTCCAAAACTCCGCCCACTTCATGCAAATAATCAAAGATGCTCCCATCCTATCCAACCAGATGGTGAGCTTGGACGTAGTGAGTTTGTTCACCAAGGTACCCACGGAGGAGGCACTCTCAGTAGTCAGAGATAGATTAACCTCTGACTCTTCCCTAGAGGAGCGGACCAGTATTCCAATAGATAATCTGATGGAGATGTTGACTTTCTGTACACAAACAACACACTTCGGAATGGGATCACACATATATCGACAGGATGAGGGCTTAGCAATGGGCTTGCCATTATCACCAGCAATGGCGAATATATACATGGAATACTTTGAGGAAATGGCATTAGAATCTATATCTCTAAAGCCAACTATATGGTTAAGGTATGTAGATGTTCAGGTTCTACTGGACCATGTGAACTCAATAAGACCTTCGATACAGTTCATAATAGAGAAAGAGAGTAACAACACATTCCCATTCCTGGATGTTCTAATATCTCGAACAGAGCACCGTATACCATAAACCAACAGTACCTCAATTTCAACTCCCACCATCCATACAGCGTAAAAAAAGGGATCTTCCGTTGCTTACAACATCGAGCAAAAGTCATAAGTGGCATCCCAGAGACGTTAGATAAAGAATTGGTCAGTATAAGTAGTACCCTACAACGTAACAACTACCCTGGGTAGCCCCCAAAAAACTGGGATAGGCGGGTACAAGAGGAGGAGGACAACAAGACTCAGAAAAGTCTGCCTGCCTTATGTGAAGGGGTTATCAGAGAAAATACAAATGATCTGCGGTCCATATAACATCAGGACAACCTTCAAAAGCTTGACGACACTTTGCAGATATCTCTCCTGAGTAAGACCCCACATAGAGGAGAGCATGACTAAAGACTGTGTGTACGCTATCCCGTGCAGCTGCGGAAAGGAATATAAAGGAGAGACAGGCCGCCCCCTCAAGGTAAGGCTTCAAGAACACCAGAAAGGTGTAACACGAAGGGAAGTAGAAAAATCAGGCGTGGCTGACCACATATGGAGAGAGAAGGGAGATCACCGCCCTCTGTGGGATCATGTTGAGATCATAGACAAGGAACACCATTGGAAAATTTGTAAACTTAAGGAATCAGCACATATGCTAGGCCACAAAAATCTGCTGAGCCGACCAAGCATAGAAATAAATACAATATGGGAACCAGTAATAAGGAGTGCCAGAGAAAAGCAATGGTAACAACAAAGTTGCAATATGAGCTCTGGTAAAAACATGTAATGATAACAGCAAAATTGCAATATGAGCACTGGTAAAAATGGTTGCTGAAGACATTAGGTTTATAATACCCAGAAATTCATACCCAGATGTCCTCAAGGACACATGGTACAGTGAATAAAGGCATTTGTTAGATCCAGTGACAGGACCCAAAGAGTGTGAGTTCAATACCCGGTTAAGGCAGTAGAGAACTTTCAGTGGGAAATTAGCAGGAGATAACTGATAACTGACATCCATCAAACATGACATGTGGAACTAGAACAGTCTACCCCAGTGAGCGAAATAAAGGGTTCAGTTCGAAATTCCAACCACCTGAAGAAGGCCAGAAACGTTGTGATAAATATGGCGACAAAGATGAGAACAATAGTCTGAATAATGTAAATAATGTACTCAAAAATTTCATTACATTGTACTTACATTTGTATCTGTCAGTTTAAAAAAAAGTTGATATCCATAAAACTATATTTATTCTTTTGTTACTTGAACATGTTAATAAATTTTTCTGAACTCTTTAATGCAGAAGTGAAATTTTCTCTATTGAACTGAGGCTTGAATCATGTATGTTAGGATGACCAGTAATGAAGCATTCATTGCCTCAGCTGATATGTTTTTTTGGCTTTTTAAATACATTATATCAAAGGCATAATAAACACAGTGTGATACATATTATTCATCTGCATTTGTTCTTTTATTGCTATTTTACAGGCAGAAGCACTTTGCAAAGACTGGATCTCCTTTAAAATGTATAAATACTTACCCGAGTATTCAATCACACAAAGAAAGATTTCTTAAGTTGGTAAGTCAGTCAGCATAGTATGACATTCTATTAATTTAATCCCGTCTTAATAAGTTTGATTTATTTTTTAAGGTTAAATTTGCAGCTGATTTAAAAATAACCTACATTCTGTTATTAATTGGGACAAGGAATGGCTTGTTAATTTTAATGCCTCCAAAATGTAAACTGCTCTCTATTAATTATCTGAGAGATCCTCTTCTGACTTTGATCAGCATGGCTGATGCTAACCTCCAGAAGAGTGACTCATTGCACCTTCTCAGTCTAACATTTTCTGCTGACTTGAAATGGAAAGATTGTCAGATCAATTTCTAGGTCTGCTGCTAGGAAAGTTGGTTTTCTGTGTTGTGTTAGACAATTTTTCTTGTCAGAATCTGTCTTGCATATTTATAAGTCTACCATTTGTCCATGATTTGAATATTGCTACTACATATGATCTGATGCCTCTTCTATATATTTAGAGATTCTTCATGAAATCCAAAGAAGAATCTGCAATGTCATTGGTCCTGACCTTGCATCTCAGCTTCAGTTACTTTCCCACTGCAGTAATATAGCTTCCCTGTACCTTTTCTATAAATACTTTCATATTAATTGTTTTGATGAACTCTCCTTTATAGTACCTAGACTTTATGAAGACCCAACTTTCCCACCCACCCAACAACAACAATAACAACATGCACTGCATGTCAAGAGCCTTTATCCACAAAATGTATATTAGTGAGCTGCAGTGATTTTAGTTGAATCCAATCAAATCATTACAAAATAACCTAAAATATGTATGCAACAATATCAGCCCAAACTAATATAATACTTAAAAAGAAATTAAATTAAAAAGAAAGTCTAAGTACAGTTTTTAAAACAAAAACTCATTGACAACTCTACAAAACATGTTTTAGCTTCTTTATCTTGTGTTGTCGGGAGTTGTAAATGCAAAATATTAATATAAATAGTGAAAATAAATTGAAATTGTCACAATTAAACCTGAAAAAATCTTTCACATTTTATGATGGATTCCCCTGTCATGTTTGATACATTTGACAACAAAGAGTAGAGAAATGCAAAAACTATAGTTATAATAAAAATAACTTCTGATTCAATATCATAAACTTAGTCACGAGACAATATGAAATTATGAAGAAATACCAAAATTTTAAATTATTTTTTTAATCATGAGAATGTAATGTTGACAGCATGACAAATTACATTAATTTCATAAATGTCAGACAAACTTTTCTACATTAATCTTTATCATGTTATTAAATTGAATGGTTTCTAATCAAACATGAAAAATAAAAAAAATTTACTGGAAAATCTGTTTTACCTTATTCTAGATGGAACATTTCAATCAAAAAATCTATGAGAAAAATGAAAGTTAAAAATTAAAAAAGAAATTAATCAAAATATTTTAATGTAAATTTTATTGTCCTCAAATTTTATTCAACATTTCTTGCTTTCATGTTTTTGTTCTTTTGAGGGTTGGTCATTTTGTGAATGCAGTGATATGACTGATGTCTATATTAACCTGATATCCAAGGAGAAGAGGAAAGAACTTGAACAGATAGAACTCTTTGATGAGTTTGAAGAGTGGCATTTAAAATGTTGCCATTACATGATTTTGTGTGCTCATGAAGAAAGCACAACACCATATTTAAAGTTTCCTATTTGTAAGTAAATAGTCTTTTATTTTTAATTCAAATGAAGAAAGAACTGATGTGATTAATGATTAACAATTTGTCATTTGCCTTAGACTGAATTCTAAGCTTAAATTTTGTCAATATTTATATATTTATTCCCACCATTACCAAACTGTATGCCTTTTATAAGGGGAAAAATTTAAAATCACAGCCAATCCTATTAACATTAATTTTCTGATTTGCAAATTAAATATTGATCCCCTACACATGTTTTTAGAGGTTGAAATATACAACATATATTTATTATAGAGTCATACTTTATATTGTTTTATTTTTGTTGATTTTTTAGATTCAAGCTCTCAAAACAGAACAGTGTCTTTCCCAGAAGAAATTTCTAGCATTATTCACAACTTGCAAATACCTGAGAATCAAAAAAGTCTTCTGAAAAGATTTGGGCATTCCTGTATCTTATCGTTTGAAAAACTTTTGTTTATTTTTGGAGGATTTGGTAAAGAAAATGGCAAATACCAACGAGTCTCTAACATTGTGATCAGTAATCTGGAAACTTTAGAAACGGTGTCTTTACCAGTTCCAACTAATTTGCCAAAGTCACATTGTAAGTTCTTACAGGCTGATATTGTACTTATTTGATTAAATCTTGTTTTTCTTTATAATCATATTCATGAATTAGCTTTCAACATTGTTAATTATTGAAACCATAGACACAAACCAAACTCAACAATATAATACCTGTGTCTCACTAACAGAAGAAGTTTTATATGCATGTTAGACTATTTTCTGGTTGATTTTTAAATTTTAGGATAATTTAGACTTTCTTTGCCCAATGTAATATATAAAAAGATTATTATCTTACTTAATTTATACTTTTAATTGCTCTGTAGATTTAGTTTAGAATGTTTTGAACCTTATAAAAATTTGCAATCACCTTGAGCTAAAATTAGGAAATAAAAGTAAAAGTAAGTAAAATTAAATACTGGGACTAGTGATCTTTGGAAAGTGTGAAACCATTGACAAAGTTTTTCATTAGCTTATCACAAAATAATGACTTAATAATTAGAACAAATTTATTGAAAATGTAATCATGACAATTATCCAGAGGTGAAAACAAAGAAAAGATCTATAATTTCCAGAGTTGACAGTCACTCAGTGATGACAAATAAAAGAATAGGAAATGAATGATTAAATGCCTACTTTTAATGCAAATACTTTTAAATAGCTTTGAACTGTAGTTAATACTTTTCATTTAAAAACATTATTAACAGTGCACCAAATTTTTTTCATGTTTATCTCCATTGCACTGACCATTTATATATATGTGTGTGTGTGTGTGTCATCCACAACAGACTGTTTTGCTGTATCACAAGTCATCAGTGTCATTCGCAATACAGCAAAACAGTCTGTGGATCACACACAGGGAAACTACATTATAGCAGTGGGAAAGTAACGGAAACTGAGATGCCAGGTCAGGACCAATAATATTGCAAATCTTTTTTTGTATTTTATCAAAAATTTCTAAATACATAGCAGAAGCACCAGAACATATGTGGCAACAATATTCAAATTATGGACAAATGGTAAATTCATAAATATGTAAAATAGATTCTGGTGATAAAAATAGTCTAACATAACCAACTTGCAGTGGATGTAGCAATCGATTCAATATAATCTTTCCATTTCATGTCAACAGAAAATGTCAGCCCAAGAAGATTTAGATTAATATGTGAAAAACTTGTAATAGTAATAAACTAGCTTAATATAATTAAGAAATTTTAATTATGAATTTTAAAACTGTCAATCATCTTTGAAATTGAATAATTGATTTAAAATAATTTTACTTTGTTACAGTAAAAGTTTTCTTTTAAAATAAATTAATCTGAAATTTACCTTAATCAAATCCTAAATTATTTCATTTGAACTTTCATTTTTTTTAGTCGCCCAAATGTACCAAAGTATCTCTTTATCAACTGATGGATCCATCATTTTATATGCCGGAAGGAAATCTCCTCAAAAAGCAAGCTCTGCTGTGACCATTGTTGAACTTAACAATCTGGACGAAGATAGTAGCAAACTTGTGTCTGGAGAAATTGCAAAAGAAAAATCAGATGACATGTCATGTGGCATTGACTTTAGACTTGGATGCAAAAGCTACAGAATAAATTGCCAACAACTAGAAACCAAAGGAGAAGCTCCCTCATCAAGATGGAGACATTCTAGTGCAATATATAAGAAAAATGGTAAGTCAAATTTCTTGGCTTCATTTGTTTTGATCATGTAATTTCTTGTAGTGGATATTTGAATCTAGGTACACAAGGTATCTCCACTTGTAATATTGGTGCTATACAATCTTCCTATCTAATATTTCTTCAATTAACTTCAGTTTCAGAAGATATGTTTGATTATGAGATATATTTTAATGTCAGAAATTTCTTCTTTTTGAAAAAGATATGGTTTTATAAACCCGCTTATGTGATATATATTACATAGCACATACGGGGTGCAGCATAAATATTGTTACAAAATAAAAAGCTCATAAATCCTGAAAAATGTATTATATCAGCCTACAATTTTAACTCAAAGTAAGTGTTAATCTGATAAATAACAGCAGAAAATCTTATTTAGTATGGTTCTCTTTAGCCTTCACCACACAGGAAAGTCATTGATGGTGGCATGCACAGTTTCCAAGGGTATTTTATCTTATACTCTCATCATTTTTGCCTTCAGAGCTTGAATATTGAGGTGCAGAGTAGAACAGGCCTCACTGTCAAGAACTGACCACAAACGATAATCAAGTCCATTCGTCCTTGGTGATGAAGCCAAGACAATTGTCTCTGTACCACTGCTGTGTTACACAAGCAGTATGGCTCAGCGCTCCATCTTGTTAAAGTGTCACCATTGCACCATGGCTTGAATGCACCTTCCAAGATGTCCTCTATGTCCACTTCCTTTACCCCTTGAGGGATGAAAACAAGAGGAGACTTTCCTCCTTCTGAAATGGCTACCTAAACAATAACTGATGCTGGTTTCTGTGTTCTCAGGCTGTTTCCTTAAGTGGCAGGCTGATGACTTGTTGAAAGAATATAATCATTTTGATGATTAAATGTCTGTGAACAGTTTCTCATCAGTGAAGATGATGTTTTGCAATGTGCCATCACGAATCCATTTCAGCAACTGCTTACTTCTTTGAAGACTCTTTTTAATTGTGGCTTCTGAAAAGAAGCTGTCCCTTGGTTATCTTTAGGGCAACATCCCTTAGATCATTTCAATAAAGTCTCCACATAGGACTCTCCCATGTTCCAACCTCCCCTAGTTAATTTTCTCATTGACCTTCTTGGATTAGGCCTGATTTTTTTCTCACACATGTTTAATGAGTTTTGGCATTCTGGAAGTGCGAGGACATCTTTGATCAAGGAAGTCTCATTGTATCAATTGATTGACCTTTTGATAAACATTCTATTGATTCCAAGTTGTTTTCTAACTTAAAAAACTTTTAATTTCTATAGACGTTGTTGCCAGTAAATATTAAAACGCTTTGAAAAACAAATAGTATATGTTGTTGGGCAAACAATTAACAATAATGTAATGACCAAAGATTAAGAAGTAAAATTCATTTGAAATTTTGTAACAGCATCTATGCTGGCACCTTGTATATTCATATCTTATGAAATTTAATAATTTGTGGAAAATCATGAATTCAGATAAGCTTTGATAGGGCAACAGATATAAACAAAATGGTAAACTAAATGACTGTGAAACAAAGTAAATATACTGTTGCATAGTGTTGTTCTAAAATCCTACATGTTAATCCCATTACATATACATACCTAAAAATATATGAATCTTTTACTTTAAAGCCAGTGTGTAAATTGGATATGGATTTACCTTAAATTCAATGCCGAAAAGCTGGGTGAATGTATAAACAAATTTAAAAATGAGAAAAGATAATAGCATAAAAATAACAACTTTTATATGAAAGTCACAAAATTTTATTCTTTTTTTCATCCCGAGAAATGCTAGTAAAAGTATTAACAATTTATTATTTAAGCACACACACAAACATACATATATTTCTTTCTTTCATTTTGATCAGATTAAGCCCAATAAGGGCAGAATGCATAGCCTAGTTTCAATGAAACAGTTTTCCATTTGACATATTCTTCAAACTTTTTCTGGATTCTGTATCCTATTTTATGTGTGTGTGTTTGAACTAATATATCTTGGATGTTAAACTCACAAGGTTTCATATATTGTACTCTCTAGCCTTCTTCAGGTGTTTATCATTCTGGGTAAACATCTTGGAATTTTGAACTGAAACATCTTGGAATTTTGAACTGAAAATGCTTGTTCTCATTCCAAGGCATATCTCATATCAGTTAATACACTACTGTGCACTAAACATAATGTCTACACTCAGGTGATGATATTGTTTAGTTTCCTTTCACTCTTAAAGTCTCTCAGATGGTATGTTCATCTATGCTAAGTCTACTGAGGATATGATTCTTTCAGGCTTGTCCTCCATTGTGTTAATACAAAAATACAGAAAGGACAAACAAGTAAGGGTGGAGGAACCTTGAAATCATATATGGAGGGAAAAGGGATTGTCATCAACTCTTGTGGACCTACGAAATGAAGTCAAGATAATAGAGAACGTTATCTTGACTTCATTTACATATGCATGCTAGGCAGACTATAGCAGACTTTTTTGTCTTTGTTCATGAAAGTTTACAGAGTAATTGTAGTGTTACTGACTCACACCTCATGGGTAATAGCCATAGCTTTGTGACTTCCTATGTAAATAAGTCACCCCATCGACCTCTACTGAAGAGGATTTATCCCTCTTATTTTCCCTGATACTTCTTCTGGGAGCATTTGTCTCCTCACTATCTTCCACCCTCTTCCTAAGAGATTGTCTAGATATGGGAGATCATGATTTGTTTCTTTTTTTCATAGTAGTTTTTCACTGCCATTGTTCATCTTCAGAGTCTATCTTACTCTCAATTTCATTGTCATGTTTGTTTTGATTACAAATGACACTTTTGTCTTCATTACTATCAGGCTCACTATACAATCTAAATTGGTCTGCATGCACTAATATCCAATTTCCATTTTTTTTTTATTATAGCTTTCTGTCCACTTTGCATAATGAGGGCAGACAGACTTTTCAGTTTTCCAGCATGTGGTATTGTCCTATAACTTAACAACAATCTAGGTAGAAATGTTTCTATCTTTTCTTTCTGTTGTACATCTATATTCAATCCATTTTTTATAGTTTTCCCCATCCTTTCTTCTAATCCATTTCAATGTAGATGGTATGGTAGGGTTTTATATGGTTTGCATCTAATTTTGTTCAACCATTAGCATAGTTCCTCGTCACAGAACTCTGAGATGTTGTCAGATACTAATGTTTTCAGAATTCCATTTCTTGAAAATATGATCCTTAACAATTGTTTCACGGTTGAATTTCTTTTGTTGGAAACTTATATTACTTCTGGTCAGCCTGAATATGCATCTATTAGTAATAATCCCACTCCGTTAACATGGGCATGATCCATGTGTATTCTGTCCCATATTCTTTAGGCCATGTATGTCTGTCTAAATTTTCTTCTTTCATTGCACATTTTACATCTTTTTATGTATTACATCTGTAGAATAGCTTGGCCATCATGCCTCTAGCCTTAATCTCCTTTGTATAGATGTTATTCCACAATGAATATTGTCATGTATGCCTTTTATAATTTTGCTCCTTTGCCAGAACCACTACATCTCCATTACAAATTACACCCTTTTCTACAGTTAATTTAACTACTACAAAGACTTCTCTCCTCTTTAGGATATCTGGAACCACCTGATTATGAAAAACTCGGCATTAACATTATAGTCTATCATTTTTTAAAATTTTGCTTGTTCAAAACATAAATTGATGTTACAATTTCATAATCTACAAGTCACAGTCTGCAAGGATATATTTAAAATAAAAACACTATTACACTTTCAGAACATATAATTTCTCTATTTACATGTGGATTATTGTCCTCATCTTTGTTGGTGTTATGACAGTAAGACAGTAATCTGAATGTAAATAAAGATAACTTCTCATCCCAGAAATATAATTTCTCATTTTGTGAATATTTTTAAAAATGTAGATGTGCCTGTAATGTTTATTTATGGAGGAAGAGACCAACATAACACAGCACTGGATGATGGCTTTGTTCTAGATTTACAAACAAAACAATGGACAAAGGTTTGTGTATTATTATTATGTTTACTAGAGATTTTTTTAAATTGTCAACTAAATAATTTGGAAAATAAAGAATGAAAATTTCAACATATATGTGAGCTATTTTTCATTGGTTGCCAATTGAAGACATGTTTAAATTTTACAACTTTGGATACTACTGTTTATATCATTGTTTTGTATGAAAATATTTTATGATATGGAGGTAATGTGAGTGTCAGAATTATTACACAGTCTCATTATGTTTTGGTAAAAATATTGTGAGTTAATCTTATATATATAGTACAGTGTATGTGTGTGTGTGTTTGTGCAAGTGTGTGTCCAAGCAACTCCTCTGCTTCCACTGGTCTCATTTCAATGATTCTTAGCTCATTCAAAAGCCTTAGAAACGATTTTTGTTGAGCTCAGATTCAGGGTTGCCAAATTATGTTAAGTTAAAAATATATATTAATATATTATACTAGCTATTATCATTGCTTTCATGGTTCAAGGGGAGTAACTCTTATTTTCTTTTGTATCCAAAATTGCAGCTAGCTTAAAATTTTAAGCTAGCTTAAAAGCTGCCCTATCAGGCAGTATTTAAGCTAGCTCCTGTGGAGGATTCTTGGTTTGGCCATAATCAGAATATCTAGGGAGGAGTAGATGTGATAGGCATCAATAAAATACAGAACTCAAAATTGATCACTGCATTTAAGTATTGAATTAATGTTTAAGCTTACCTTTTAAAAGTTCAACAATAATTCTTCTGTTGAAACTTAATTTAAAGATGATTTGATGTACATAGATCCTTATTTTCTGTACAAACAATTATTTTTATTTCATGGGTGACAGAAAAGGGGACAAGTTATAAGATAAAATTAATATAGTGTAAAAACAGGAAAATAGAAATTAGAATTAATTATACATTCAACATTTGAAGAGTTAGAGAAACATAATAGCTAATTAAGTAAAACCTATATGATGGAATAGTATAAATGCAAAATTGGAGCACAATTTTCCCACAAATTCTGAGATTAAAAAACACCAGCTCTATTTTATAGTAATTTGGTATTTATTTGACTCCCCACAAAGTCACATTGTGACACAGGGTTGGTTTAATGTCAGGGACCCAAGCATGTACACCCGGGCTAGGAACAAAAATTCCCAGAGCCACTGCAACCATCAGTTGCACTGGCCTCGGTGCGAGCACCAATTACTCTCTCTAGTGCAATGAGAGGATGTGGCCTTAGGTAACTGTTCCACAGGGCTGGGCATCTCTCAGTATAATTTTCATCAGTTGCAACTCTGTCCTTTGATGGAGCCGCCTCTAAGTGCACACTGCCCAAAGACAGAGATGCAACTGAGAGATGATAAATAAGTGTGTTACAAATTACTTTATAGTAATTTACACATGGCATTTACTCTGTCCCCCCACTAGGACAAGATGTGACACAAGGTCTATTTTTAGGTGAGGACCCAAGCGCGTACACCCGGGACAGGAACAAAAATTCCCATCAGCCCCTGCAACAAGTTGGCATCTATTTGTAAAACTTTCCTTAACTATAACAAGTTAATTTATGAATGAAATGTTCATTTAAAATTTTTGTTTCAAAGATTTCAAGTAGTGAATATATCTTGCTTTGTGAAGTGATAGTGAGTGGGCAAAGCCTGCTAGTTTATCAATAAATTTAACAGCTAAGGTTTCTCCAAACTGGCAATCATGTCATTCCTTCAGAGTGTTTTTGTTATATGGTTAACTGTTAAAGCTTTTATACTATCTTCATATCTTGGTAGTATTCTGAAATAGCTGAACCAATTTAGAAAGAATATATATTCGGTTAGTCAATATTTTTTTGCTTTTGTTATTTGTATAAATGCTCCTAATGTAATCTAATTTGAGAAGATCAGCTTTGATTGTAACAATTGTTATATTCCTGTACATTTTTAAAAGAATTGTCAAAATTGGCATATTTTTCTTTGATGATAGAAGAAAAGTAATATTTTTGGCATAGCATGCATTTTTATTTTAACAGATGCAAAAAAATGTTACTTAAATGCAAAAAAAAAACCAAAAGATTTGTGCAGTTAATGGAGATGTCAATGCAAATGATCAACTATGTTTGCTGGAAACTTCTTGCCGAACAATACTCACAAATGAGTAAACCAGTTAGTGATAGCAATCAAATAAAAAAAAAATTACTGAAGATCAATTTTATATCTCCTATAGATATAAAATTCTATGACTTTTGTTAGTCTGTTCCATCATACCCTCTAAAGTAACCATGCATTGACTGATCAAAACCAAATTTGAGAAGTGCAAACAGATAAGCGTGTACAAATAATTACACATGGACAATTGTATGTTGCATGCTCAAGAGTAAGAAGCCCTAAGAATTTTTGTCTATTTTACCAAACAAATCAGCTTATTCAAATTTCATCAATTGGTTTGCAAAATTGAACGAAATGTATTGTGAAGATTTCAACATGCATCAGTGTGTTGCAAAAAATTCTACTCTTATACAATACAGGAAATAGCCAGCATAGTCAAAATATCCAAATGAAGGGCTGAAAAGCTTTTGCACTGGTTTGGTTATGTTAGTTTCTTTCATGTGTGGCAAGTTAAACAAAAAACATATTTGACTAGCTGTCCTTTTCAACAGAACAAAAATGTTCCGCTTTTAAAATAAATTGTAATAAGTGATGAAAAGTAGGATGTTGAAAGTAAAAAGTTGTGGAGTGATCAAAATGAATCATTATTAAGCATACCAAAGGCAAGTCTTCATTCAAAGAATGTGATATAGTGAAATTTAGAGTTCTCTGCTATGAGCTTCTGGCAAAAATGATTGGTTCAAACATTACTAAATGCAGTAATCAACAAAAAACATCCAGGATTAAAGGCAAAAAATAAAATTGAACAAACATTTTGAACAAGTCAATATTTTCTGTGATTTCTCATTGAAATTAACAACAGTAGTAATAGTTTAGTTTTTATGATTCAAAGTAAATGTCTGAGAAATAACTAATTTGACATTCTATTTGGTACATTTGTTTTGAGTCACCTTGCTTATTCTTTTCAATTCTTTAATAATTTCCAGGTAACCTTTCAGGGAGAAATTCCTAATGCTCTTCATTCTCACACTTGTTCTATATGGAAGGAACAGTATTTGGTTCTGGCTGGAGGACTTCTTCAAGAATCCGTTCCATCTCAACACATTTATTTGCTTGATGTTGATTCTTTCTTTTTTAAAAGACTCAAAATCTCAGGGACTTTATATCCAAGGTAATAATTTGTAATATTTTCAAAGTGTAACAAACCTATCTGCAGTCAGTTATAATGAATATAGTGACTTATTTGGTTAGGTTGATCAGAGCACTGTATGAAATTTGTACCAATAATAAACTGATAGCACTTAAAGACCAATTTCCTGTTGTAGTCAATATCTTTCAAGCAACTTCATAATTCTGTACTTTTAGAAATTATCATATTTCTCAAAAAAGAACTGCTTAAGGTGCCTTTTCAGTCTTTCAGGAAATTAGAAATTTTTTCATAAATTCTATAATGATCAAGATAAAGTGGTAAGTGAATTCCTGACTGAACATTAATTGGCTCAACTTGATATTCACTTTTCATAAGTCTTAAAATTAAATGAATCCCGATCCTCCTGATCGTAATATGTGCTAAAAAATTATTGTGTTTAAATTTTAAACTTTATTTTTCCTTTGTTGATCCTAGGCAATTTGATGCTGAGGATCAACAAAGGAAAATTTATTTTATTCCTTTTCCTTTTTTTTTTTTTTTTTCCAATTGTAGATATTTGTTGCTATTTAGAATTTGCAACAGACCAACATTGCACTACATTGGTGTCTGTCAACTTGGATATGCTTTGATGTCACATCATAGCAACAGAAATTAGCCTTGTGTTCACAGATAAAAACATACTTGACAGGAAATAAAGCATACAGAAATAACAGGAAAGCTTGGTAAATTGTATGTTAATTTCATGCAATTTATTTAAATTTCTTGTGTATTGGTCTGTGTATTTTTAGGTTACAATTGTTTTATGGTACATGTAATATTATTACATGCTCTATCACAGAGAGAGGTTGGATATGTGCTGCCAATGAAGGTTCATGGTGAAGATTGAATTTAATGTCTTTTGGTGGGATGTCTGTATTTCCGACAGGAACTGTTTTTGTTACATGCTGGAAGCATTTTTATTTAATTTATTTTAAACAAAGTTTTTATGTTATTGTTATTATTATTATTTTATATTTATTTTTATTTATAATAATAATGTTCCTACAATGCTATCTCACTGAACACCACTAAATATTTATATATATATATATATATATATATATATATATATATACATATAAAAATTTGTCACTTAGCTGAGTGATGCTACCTTCAGCATCCTGACTCCTGAGTTTTGTAGATGGACACATTTGGCCATTCTTCAGGGGGGTATCAGCAATTGATTGCTTATATTTCTCAATTTTTCTTTTTTAAGCACTTCTTATTGATGTTTTTTTTTTCTATATTGTTTCTGTGTGTTTACACACATGCACCTTTCTGAGCGTTCATGCATACGGGAAAGGGTGTTGTGATCATTTGTCTTTTTCTCCACGTTATTCCTTTTCCATTCATTTGTAGCTATTTGTTGCCAGTTTTTTTCTCTAGACATTTTTGAGCATTCTAGTCTTTCCTTGAGTTAGGAAAATTGTATTTCGTTTTTTTTACATAAATAATTGATATTAATGATAAGTATGATATTATTATTTTATGATATCATATGCATTGTTATACTTTTATAGATATATTAAATAATGCCTATATTTTTCATGACAGTTGTCTTTGGTAGACTAAGAGCTAAATTCATTTATATACACCTTTTTCTGTAAATAAATAGAATCTAATATTCTGCCATAAAAAATAAACTGTATTTTTTATTTATTTTCAGATATTCTCACACTGCTCATATCATTGAAAACCATCTCTTTCTCATAGGAGGAGTTAATCATCTCCATTTCTCAGCAGGTGTTGCTGTCATTAATCTTTTGACTGGATTTTCTCAAGAATTTAACTTACCAGTAGGTACATTCTTTAGATATTCATATTATGAATGATTCTTATCAAGTTTGAACATATTCATATCATGGTGTTTTATTGCCTGTGATATAGGTGTAAATTTTATTTTGCCAACATCTTCAAATTTGTTCCAAAATTTGATGTTGCTTGGAGTGCCACTATAATAGAAAAGTCAGCACTGGTGTAATGAAAATTTAAAATTACACTAACTGAACAATAACTTTATTATTATAATTATTATTATTATAGCAATATAAATTTAAAACCTTATAAAAATTATAATATTAGTGTCTTATTATATTTGCAACAGGAGAGGCATGACAAGCAGACCATTTCTCATATATTCTATTAAGATGATTGTTTTCCCTCTACTAACATGTAATAGTTTCTTACACTGTTTAAAAATGCACTTAAATTGAAAATTGCATTATGTAAATGACACTTCTTGTTATATAGGTGTAGAGTTGTATAATCCAATATAAGACACTGTCACTTATAATAAAGAAAAATCTTTCTCTTTGGAAAATAACAGATTATGTACAGATATTAAGCTTTCTTATATAAAATCATTTTTTATTTTTCATTTTCTACATTAATTTTACTTTATAGGTGAAGGACAAAACAGATGAAATCCAAATGCTACATGGTCATCAAAGCATCCTTTTAAATAATGGTCAACTTGCAATTATTGGTGGTGGAGGAAATTGTTTTTCATTTGGTACACATCTTAACAATGCTGTTATTTTCATCAACTTAAAACAACTTGGTTTAAACAAAAGTGATATATAAAGAAGCCAAAATAAATATTTTTGGAAAGCATCAGTTTTGTGTGTTTCTAGTGATGTTAACAAAGTTTTTAGTTCATTTTTAGGCTTGGACCCTTGACAAATCTGTCACCAGATGTTTTAATTTGGAGTTATTGTGGATAATGAAGAATTTAAAAAATATTACTTCTCTCAACTGTCTGCTATAATAATTCAATCAAAAAGTACAAAATAAGATCGAGATTTTGACTGTGTGGCACTATATGTTTATATGTTGAGGTAGACTTTGGATCAGGAATACTTTTTCACAGAATCAAATGTACCATTATATACTGAAGATGTACTGTTAACCTGGTCACTGGTCTGGCAACTCCTCTATCTACATGTTTAGATAAGATCTGAAGATGTTTCAAGCTCAAAGTTGAAACATCACAAGCCAGCCACATACAAAATCCAAGACAAGCATAACTTAACTTTTTAACATGACATAATTTATTTTAGCTGTTGGTTACACAGGTTTTTTTTAAAACTTCTTCCCCCAAATTCTAATGCTTGACAGTAAGAAATATTTATTTACAACTATGATGATGGTAGAAAAACAATTGTATGTGTTTATTTGCTATCATCAATAAACTATATTTACTACCAACTGTCAGTTCAAACCTATGGACTCTGGTGTAAGTTTGTCTCACAAACACAATTCAAAGACAATAATCAGTAGTTGTTTCTTTGATTTTAAAGGTTGGCAAGTAACTGTAAATGAAGACAATAGGGAAAAGCAAGCTTATGATTGGTGTCAAAGGTTGACTGGTGATTTATTCCTAATTTTTATTCTTAGGAATAAAAAATAGGGAAATATTTTTCATGTCAAAACAATGTGATACCATGAATTTTCACGTTTGTGTCATTTTTGGAGTGTAGTGTAAGAAGTAAAGTCTTAAGTCTGTTTAACTTGTGTTGTTTTTATTTGATAATGGAATTATTAGCTGGAATGAGTGACACAAAGTAAATCTTTACAGGTCAAGTTTGTTTTGATGGAGGTGATGATGACAGCGATGATAATCAGGTCAAATGAGGGTGAGATTCCAGAACATGGAAAATGTTCCACCTTCAGTGGAAAATTTTCCATGTTCAAGGCCACAATTTTGATTGGCCTGTCAATGAGAGAGAAGGGCTGGAATGAAGCTTCTTCTCTCTCCCTTCAATACTTATGACACAGAGCCATTATTTTCATTGAATCATGTTGGGTTCTCAGAGGCTTTCCTTCCTCCCCTTCGATGCATATGATACAAGACCATTGGTCAAGCATTATTATTGTCTAGCCAATCAGAGTAGTTCAATTGGGGTTTGCACCCCCATAAGGGCAGTTACCAAAAGAGCATAAGTAAAATTGAACTGGACTTGTGGCTAGTAGACCAACACTCTCCTTACTGGATGACTGTGGTGCTTCAATCACCTAAAGACTTGTTCTCTACACTGCTTTTTGAACTCCCTCAATCAGCTGCCTTCATTTAAATAGTTGAACAACTGGGCTGTTTAGCCATAACTGCAATCTTCAGTCAACTTCTTCCTCCCAGGTCAAAAATTCTTTATACAGCGAAACTTCTTCAAATCCCTTTTGTTTCATGATCTTAATCAATCATAGTACCATAAAAGTTGTTATTTTTACACTTGTTAATGAGTGTTGTTGAAGTGAATTAAGTTTACTGGTGACACTGGAATCTTTCACAAGCATAGTCAGGCTTGACTCCTTTGAGTCAAGCCTAATCTTTGACTGTTCTTCCTGCAGATTCTGAAACACATCGTGTGGTCGCAGGATTGGTGCAGAATGGGCTTACCAGGGAACAAAGAGTGGCATTCAGCAACAGGGCCACAATCTTTTATAGGTCACATGTGAGTACAAGTCCCATGGGACTATTCGTATATCAGTTTAGAGTTATGCCATTTAGACTAGCAGGAGCTCCTGTTGTTTTCCAGTAATTCATGTCCATAGTGCTGAGTGGACTGGGGAATTTTGCAGTGGCATATATTGATAACATTGGTGTTCTTTAGAGACAGAAAAGAACTTCTGACATTTACAGCTAGTATTTGACTGACTATGAGAACATGGTTTGAAGGTGAACTTACAGAAATGTCAATTTCTCAAGGATGAAACAAGATATCTTGGCTTTATCATTAACAAGAATGGAGTGAAGCCAGATATAGGTAAAGTCGAGGTGATACAATTGATAACAAACCCTTATTGTTCACAATATGGTCATCTGTCCCCTAGCATAGTGATCCCTGAGCATCTGAAAGAATCGTTGCTTAATATACAAACAAAATTACCTCGTGTTGAGGCTGCCAGCTGACCCTGTGGGTAAATTATGATGTTATCATTCTCTAAGATGCACTACTCTGATAAACACGGATAATCTATCAGGATATTATATGTTATCAAATCAGGAAAGCACATTCGAGGTGTTTAGGATAATCAACTTAACCATTCCTTGTCATATAACGGATGGAAAGGGAGGAAAGAATGGAATTATCTTGTGTGTGATGTGTACCAAAAGGAACAAAAACAGTAAAAATCCATTTAGTGGCCACCATTCAATTATCCATGGGATGCTCAGCCTTAAGGAAGACATTAGCTTTACTGCTATATAATCAAACAGAAAAAAAGATTAGATTCTTTCTTGCCTCTTGTGAATGTACTGGCCACTAACAGGACTAAGTTATAGGACCCCCTAATTAACAAATTCCCTAAGATTAAGGTCCAAGATATCCCAAAGTTTTTGGGACCTGTAGGAAAAGTCAATTTAAACCAACTAATGGGCAGATTGAGAGCAGTGACAAAGACAGAACCCTATTGGAATGGTGGAATCAATATAGTGGACTGGTCAACTTTGTCAGGTACTATCATGATGATAATAATTATTTTGATTTTATTGATATTGGTGTATAACTTGAGGACGTCATGTTGATGGGTGTCATATTCACAAGAAGGGTGTTGTATTCCAGCAAATCACACAAAATTTCCTATTGGCACCTTCATCAACCCTTTTGTCTGATTCACACATCAATATTGTTGGATCACTAACAATGCATCAGAGTTACCAGTACCTGCTAATATTCATCAATCGATTTTCCTGGTGACCAACCACTTTACCAATCAAAGACACAACATCTAACAGAGTTTTCAAAGTGATTCTCAAAGACTGGGTTGCAACTTTTGGGAGACCATAAATAATCACGACTGACTGCTAAGCACAATTTCAATCATCCCTATTTTGAGAATTTAAGAATTGGCAAATCAAAATGAAGGCTTATCACTCCTGCACAAACATTCTGGTCAAAAGATTTCACAAATCCCTAAGTTTTCCTGGCTATGAGTAACATCAGTAACTGGATTGAAAACTTATTTAATAGTAAGAGAGGAGGATTATTGGTAAGATTTAGGCAGCATACAAGCCAAACTCATTTTTGGTACACCCCTATCATTACAAGGACAATATTTTAGTGATACATCAAGTACAAATTCAACTCCTATCTCCTTTATACAAGAAATATGTGACAAAATAACACAGTTGAAATACACGCCAACACAACACATCATAAAGATCACTTATGTACCAAAAAACTTTGAGTATATTTTTATATAGAAGGATGCAGTCAAATGACAACTTACACCCATCTACTAAATTATCAGCCAAGCTAAATATATCACAATAAAGCATGATAACATTAGACAAACCAAACCAAAGATGCCCCTAAACACAAATCTGAAACCAGACCACAACCAGATGCACCTCTCATGAGACAGACCAAATCAGGAAGGGATGTCATTCCTAAGCATCTTGAAACATACATATATTATTGATATGATCAATTATTTAGAGGGAGAGCCTTGCCATATCTTATCAGGACTCTCACACTTTGCTTAACAGGAACAACCACGGTTGTGTAACTAACTGCATAAAAAAAAGCCTCAAAAACAGACAAAACTTGCCATCCACAGCCAACTGGCTAGGATACTTACTGGCACAGGAGTTAATATCATCGCCAATGAAGAATTTTTTTTTTTTTAATTGTGCATGGGCCGTTTCACCTTTTTAAATGGGAGAACTTGCTCAGTTCTGGGGATTCCAACCCTACAGCATCTTCCTCATGATAGTAAGTGAGGGGACGGGGTTGGTATAATATCAATGTCAGCAATTGTGGAGATTGGTCAAAACAATTTTTTTCCTTCGCATACATATGTGTATGGTTCTCAACATTAAAACAACCTTGTATCACAACCTGTCTTAGTGGGGAGTTTGGCTAAATATAATAAATTGCTAGGATCACAATGTGGTATCTGTTCTGATAATCAACTTTGAATGACCATGTGTTGAAAGATTTACTGCCAGCTGGATGAATTACCTTAAAAGGAGTATAGTCCTACATTTGGATCTTACCTTTTTTGTATTGCATTTCCGTGGATGTACTTCATCTTCCTCTGCATGTTTACAGTCCTACAAGTATTATTGTAAACTCATTTTAAAAGTAAGTGGTTTATTTGTTGCCATACACTTTTATCATTGGTCATATTTTTGTTTTTGACTGTTTTTTGTGGATTTTTGTTGTGTGATGATCTTGGCCAACATGGTGGAGCCACCCCAGCATTCAGAGAAACAGGAATCACGTGTTTCTGGAATCAACATCTTCAGCTTCTACTAGGCCCCAAAAGAAGGATGTCCAGTACTATCTCTGGTAACAAGCAATTGATGGTGCTGTTGTCTCTGGTAACCATGGATGTCAGAAACCGTAGATTGATTGTTGTTAGCAGGGAGACAAAAGAGGCTCTAAACATTGCTGCTAAAATGTTGGCTAGATGGAGTAATGTTGTGTGGGACATCCTGCTGGCATCAGAAGCTGCTAAGGAGTTGGCAGGAAGCATCCTCACCATGAAATTGGTGAAGCTGCAGAGTATATGGGCACCCACAAGACCAGAATAACACTTGACAGGGTGCCCCTGGATATCTCTGAGGATCATCTGGATGCCTTCTTTTTATATGGACATATCAGGGATGTCACTCCAGTTATCAGCAAGGCAGGCATTGGCACTGGAGACTTTGTATACCAGATAACCTGCAAGAACTTTCTAGACATCCCTAACATGCATGCTGATCTGCTGGGGATGAAACATCCTAGTCGTTGTCAAAGGGTGGAGACCACATTGCTGGTGTTATGGTACCAACAGACCAATGAGTCCAAGGTATGCCTCAAATGGAAACCAGAGCTACAGGCCAAACCAGCAACACCTAAGAAAGCAGTGGAGACTGTGAAAATCTGGACAGTTTCCAGTGGCCTCAATAGGTGGAAGGGATCAAATTCTACACTCATCCTTCCCAATAGGATGTCTTGGAG